AATGTGAATGTGGATGGTCAATACAGAATAAAACGAAAATGCTGGGTGAACTCAAAATTTCAAGGCAACAAACTGATAACATTTTAAGTTGGGCAAATCAACTAAAGGTTTTAAGTTTTTCAGTTAATGCAATATGCTGGCAACTAATCAAGGGCGTAACCGGTGTAAAATTGGCTGGGATAGGCTCAAGCTCACACCCAACCTTAGTCATGACAAGCTCTCTGTAAAAGGTATTGCAGGACTCCAGTTACTCATCTTAAACATTTGTAAAGTTACTGTACTGTATGCCTTTCATTTCCAAGCAGTGATGTTCCTTCTATTGGATAGCTGCAGTCTCACTGCCCACTGATGACTCATAGAAGCCAACCGGGTAATGTTGTTGTGCGCAGTTGCACCGCAATTATGCCCATCTCCAGGTCAGTGTGTGGCAAATAGATTCAAACAGTGAGCACTCTCACTTGTGCTGCGGTGCTAAGGGAGGACATGTCGGTAGAAAAATCACTGAAGTGTTGTAGAAATTTGAAAGCAAATGGGCCATTGCATTTTACCTCACGCAAGAGGAAGGGAGAGGCAAGAGAGAAGAAAGAAAGGAGGCTCGTTGGATATGTCTGGGCTCTTAGTCAGTGGTCATGATTCAGACATGCACTTTCCAAGCCCAAAGAAATGTTGCTCATCCATTTTCTGGTGGGGTCCACGTAGAAGAGGGTATGAACATAAAACAAGGAAGAGACATAGGTGGTAATTGAAAGAGAAAGTCTCCCACTGTTGTGTCACACTTGATTCCTCCTCCACATCATCGCCAAACTCTGCTTCAGCAAAGTTGAATCACAACAGCTTTCGCCATCCGTTGTGGGATGTTTCACACTTCTGTGCTGCCTCCTACACTCACTACATATTGAGTCGACATCAAGCAGTCTCACTTTGATGAACAAGCAAAGTGAAACAGAATGAATTAGTCAAAATGAACACATTTATTAACTGCACAAGCAGTGTTTTAGGTGGCATTTGAACATTCTTAATTGCCAGTGTGAAATCAAGCTATGCACTGTTTATATAAAACATATTCTCAACTTTTTTCTGTAATGCAAATGAACAGTGAGGAAAGTGTATAGTGAAATGGGGAACCAGGATAAATACTTTACACATTTCACTTATGAACATTTTCAGCTGTCATGCAAGTGTAAAAATAAGTTAGCTGCAAAAACAATAAGATGTGTAAGTCCCATTACAGACTTCAATTTTCATTTCATAAATGGCCCGTTTGAAAAATGAATTGCCCACCTCTGACTTGAAGTACGGGACCATGTGATCAGCTAGCTTACCTAGCACAGTTCTGTAGGGCAGCGGTCCAGTTTTTTGCACCACGGCCTGCTTTTGTATACGGACATATTTTGACGGACAGTCGAAGCCGCAGCACAGCGACACAGAGATAATGGCCTCACCGGTGGCCCTCCTGCGACACATTCAGCCACTGTCTCACAGAGAATGTAGCCGTTAGCTGGTTGCCAGTTGAATCAAGCCAGCTGCAACAACAGCTGTTCATAGGCTACTATGCAATGCACTGTGATAGTCAACTCCAAAACAAAAGCGAAACAAGTAATACTGTGCATGAATAACATTGTCTTACTTAGCTTTTATTGTGAAGTTGGATCTCAGAAGCAATTGTTGTGGCGGCCGACTTGACTTTGAATTGAAGCTGGCCTGATCTATTCTAACAGCATCAAAGTGCAGTGACAGACTTGAACTGGAGCGCAATATTCAATTTCTAATCCTCATGCGCACCGGCGCCCCGCTTATGTGCTCCCTTGGGTATGAGCAAGCCTCTGACACACTGCCGCTTGAGTGAAGTAAAATGCAGCAAATAAAGTAAAATAATGGCCTTGCATGCAGGCCAGGAGAACCACAAAAGCTGAAGCGCTTTCAGCCGTTTAAACCTCCAAATGTATCACTTGTCACTGATCTTTTGAGGACTAAAACCGACTAAACTGCAGTCTTGTTCACTTGCTCACTCTAGGCTTAACTCATTCACTCCCAAAGACATATTTATATGTCTTTTCACACTCCACACGTTCAACCCCAGATACTTTTTTTTTTTCAAATTTTCCAAGACTTAGGGTAAAAAAATAAAATGGGGTCGAGAACTGGCTGGTACTGAATGAGTTAATGGAGTCAGAACGATAAAATGGCATCCACATCAGCAATGGACTGTCTTGTCCCCCTTTGTTCAATAATGAACTGGACCAGGCCAATAGCTCTGCCGCTGACTCGGCCGGCCAGTGCGGCTGTGAGGGTAATTACCGCCCATCAATAATTTATTGTCATTGCAGTTTATCTGCTGCAGCAGAAAAAAAATGCAATGGTAAAAGCATTTGTGGGACCTCACTCTTTCTTCTCAAAAAGGGAGGGGGCGGGGCTCACAAAGGAGCTGCAGCCGGGTGCAGTGAGGCTTGGCAGCTCTGAGATACCCGGTGCTGCAGCTCTGCAGCATGTCACATGAATGGAACTGCCGATGAGACAGTGTCGAGTTGATTGACAGCTGGAAAAGCATATCTTCAGTCTCTTCTTGAAGGCATACAGTACGTACTTTGGATAGCGTGTCGTGTATTATTCATGCAAAAGCAGATGCAGAACACTCATAAATATAAATGTTTCCAAGCCGACAGAGCTCTTCTTCATTGTTTATATCTGCGTCTGTGTGCTTGCATTTGTGTTTGAATGTGCCGAGTAAGTTCATTTTAATTAGCTGTAATTATATGTGAGAAAGGCGTACTGAACTGAAGAACAAAGGCTTAAATGCCATGTAACAGGCTCACACTCACTATGCAGTAAGAGGGATGGCACACCTTTTTAGCATTTTACTCAGTCACGATTTGACAGTTTCGGTTGTAACGTGGAAAATGAGTAATCGCTGAGTACATAAATGTTTCATACATGGGAACCTTAAACACAATCCATTTCCGAATGTTGGTCTACTTCCCATTTGTTAACAATTTGAAACAACCTTTCCCATAAGAAAAATACAAATTTCTTGAAACAATAAGAGACTCTCCCTTTTCTGCTTCAAAAACAAGCAATGTCACACACAGCGGGACAGATGATGGCTGCGGAGCTAGGACTAGATAGTGGCTAATGTTAGCCGCTAGCATTAGTAGCTGAATCCGCAGTCTGGATTTCATCGCCTTTTCAGTCTGAACATTTTCACACTTCACTCCATCTGGCTCAACGTCATGTCATGTCCTGCTTCTCCTTGCAAACCCCCTTGTACAGTTGTAGGCTGGAGTATTGAGCGACATTACACACTGTTTTGAAGCTTTGGAGACAGTTTTTCTCAAGTGTATGAGCGAAGGACTCTCAAATGTTGAGGCCCCATCATAAATCATAGCAATGGTTTCAGTATTTATTACCAGAAATGTAAATGTGCAATTTTGTTAAGCCCGTTTGTTCAGATTGATGCACAGCATCTGTGTTGTGGTTTTCAGTTGATTTTCATTTACCTTGAACGCTCAGGATTCAAATCTAAATGGTTTCCAGTGGATATCTGCATGGGCTAGAAAAGGGCCCCTGCTTCCTCATATCAACATGAGTGGCTCAAATCTAGAGCTGATGCCGTGGGATTTCCTATCCTATTAATATTGCTATTTCTAGCCATCTGGCCTACTGTGGACAAGACGCTCTATAACTGAGAATGCCGCTTCTAGTGACCGAAATAGATGTCTTACTTCCTTGACTGGAAGGCAAATGTGAGTCTGTTAAAGCAAAAAAAAAAAAAAGAGAGAGAGTGGGGCCTAGTTTCATTTTGGTTGTATACAGGATGTTCGCCTTTATGTTCTTTCCTGTTGAGAGCAAACGTTGCCGTTTTGGTGTCCTCTGGCCTACTTCACAGTGTGTGCGCTGGAAAGTCTCCATGTTCATGTCTCATCGGATAGGAAGGCGGTCTGTCTTGGAGAAGATCCATCCATCCATCCGTTTTCAACATTGCTTATCCTGAAGAGGGTTGCGAGGAGTTGCTGGAGCCTATCCCAGCTGACTTCAGTTGAAAGGCAGACTACACCCTGAACTGGTCGCCAGTCAGTCACAGGACACATACAGAGACAGACAACCTTTCACACTCACATCCACACCGTCACTGAGTGGGAGCTGATCCCACGCTGCCCGCATACAGGTCAGGCGAGTGTGCCGCTACACCATCAGCGAGTGGTTGGAGAAGATGAAAGTTGAAATTGCCACTCTGTACTCATAGGTTTAAGTCAAGGCCACATCAGCATGAGCCCGTGGTGAGCTGTGAGTTTGGTACCTGCGCCTTCAACTGGGACGTACTTGACTAAATCCACTTAATGCCACCAGTATCACATAGGGATAGCTGTAAACCATCAACACTATAGAAAACCACAATATAAAAGCACACAATGGTGCAATCTACATCATCTAAAAGTAATGTGTTTACACATTTTCAAATGCCAGCTCCTTTCCATGGCATCAGTGGCTTGTCAGTGTGCTTTCCTATGACTAAAGAAAGGGTGGGGAATAAGCCAATACAACAGCTCGGGCACGAAGGTTTCGATTTGTATTGGACTGACAGCAAATGTATTTCGAATTGAATCTTTTTTTTTTTTTTTTACAACCTTTTTTTACTGCTTAAAATAAGTATATTAAAAATTATATAGACTTTGGTGAGGTCGCCAAACTAATGAATGTTCATTTAAGGAAGAAAGGATTTAAATAAAAGCTGAATTAAAATAGCGTGCCACGCCCGCCTATCCTGTCCACACGTCGTGCCAAAGGAGGGAACGATTGGACCGATATCACCATGGCAACAATATGACGTCATATCCCTTGCTCTAATTGGAGGAAACCCCGTGCTACCAGCCGCTGCAACGTCCCGGCCAGTCAAACTACTCTTTGATGTCCCGCCTCTCACCCCCGCGCTCATTGTGTATTCGCCGGCATCGCAAAAATTACCTGTCACTCAAAATAGATAGCGATTTACAATTGGAGAGTCGCGCTAGATAATCCGCCCTCCTTTCATCAGTTCAGTTGGACTTTAGCTGCCGCTGCTTGTTCTTTGCCTTTCTGCCCAATCCATCGACTCGGACCAATTTGTGAAGCGAATTCGGACCTCTCGAGGTGAGATACTCCGGCTATTTTTTTGTGCGTTACAGCAAGCGTCCAAGACGTCTTTCTGATAGCAAGTGTGATAAAATCGGACGGGGTCTGATTTCGTGAGCTGCGCTTTCGTTGACAAATTTTCATTGATAGGAGTGGCCCGTTAGCTTAAACCTGCTACCTTATCTTCTCTAGGCTAGCTTTGTAGCTAGCTAACGGCTCTACACAGCTTTGTGGCGGCCGGGCCGCGGTACCGACGTGACTCAGTTTGACCATTTGAGAGCTCCGATTTTGGTGCTAGAATACAATTTTATAACGAGACAGTCAATCAACTCGGTATATCGCATGTAATGGCCGTTACGTAATCGCGTTAAAACAAAATTGTGTACCGCAAGGCGACGTCGACGCACTAAAAACCTTTACGTCGTTTTCTGTTAGGATAAATTGTACCAACAGTATTTACATGGTTTATAATAGGGTCGTTTTTCCTCCATATGTGATCGTTTCGTTTTCTCAGCCTGTCACGCCACAGTGGAAATAACGCCACTCCTTGTTCCACTCCCAGTTCACAGTCCACGACTCTCGCTCGCCCCGTCCGTGTTGTCTGATCCATCGCACCCCAATTAAATATTCAAAAAAAACAATGGATAAAGAGAATCTTATCCAGAAGGCCAAGCTGGCAGAGCAGGCCGAGCGTTACGACGACATGGCCGATTGCATGAAGGTGGTGACGGAGAAGGGCGACGACCTGACGAACGAGGAGAGGAACCTGCTGTCCGTCGCCTACAAGAACGTGGTGGGGGCCCGGCGGTCCTCATGGAGGGTGCTATCCAGCATCGAAGCCAAGTCCGATACCAGCGAGAAGAAGCTGCAGCTGGTCAAGGAATATCGGGAGAAAGTGGAGTGTGAGCTGCAAGACATCTGCAATAACGTTTTGGTATGTGGCCTGCAATTTATTTATTTATTAGCAGAGAGCCAGACAAAATATATAATTTAAAATACCAGAGTCCAATTGGTGATTCCCCACCCTTGTTTCAGTGGAGCAAAGAGATGGACAGACATCCACTAGTGAAAAAAGTACACCTACATCAAAGCTTCTCCCATTTCAGAATTTACAGCATGATGTTAGAATAGATAGAAAGATAGATACAGGGAATATCGAGACTGATTTAATCTTATGAGGGCACCTAACTGTGTCAACGCTCCCAAAAAAGGCTTCACCAGTACATAATGACTGCATTGCTGAACCAGTTTAAACTTGATTGAAGAAGAAAACGTGCAGCTCGTCCAAGAACACGAGTCACCACTTTTTTCAGTTCCACCATGTATTCTTACTTTCAACAAAATATTGAACACGAAGGCAATAATTGACATGGCAAGATTGTAAGAACAGTGTTGCTATATGCTGAAATGTAGTTCTTGAGTTTTACCTCGGCGACGGGATTTGCTAACATTCCTACGCAATTCCTCAGGGGCTTGCATTGCTTGTCGGAAGGTTGGACTGTAATTCGTAATAAACTCAAATGCTGCAGTGCAACCATGCTATCGCTTTCGTCTTCATGACAATGTCATCATTATTCCAAAACACATTGTTACATTGAATTAGGATGACGATTTCAGTCCAGTCTGGTGTCAAATGCTACCACCCTCTTTTCCTGTTGGCTCTAGCTCTGTAAAGATGTGGCTTTTCATGCTGGGGAGTACAAGGAAGTATTATGTCATTGTTCTGCCTTTCTGGAATCAATAATTTCGGAACCAATGCTATTGCATCACTGTGTGTGGCCACTGATAATGTCATATTTATTTAGTTTTAATAGCCGAAAGTCACAACCAATCTGTTCTTCCGTCCTGTAGGACTTCCAGATTGTTTGTATTTCAAACATGTGAATTAATTACAAGTTCAAACCATAATGGTTTCATGGTTGTCGCGCTTTATTTTCGCCCTGATGGAGGTGTCGTCACAAAATATCCAAAGACTTGTACATATGGTCCTTTGAATGCCTGTGGAGCGGAAGTCATGGAAGATTTGCATGATGACTCACAATGATGGTTTTGGGACTGAAGACGTTCCACTGCTTTTGGGACACCACTTGCAGGACCTTAAACCTTCTTGGTAAATCTGTGGTTTTATGTGTAGTCCCATCTGTGTGGTGGATAGCTAATGTAACAAGCCATGTGCAATAATTGACATGCACAAACAGTTCCCACTAGTTCAGCAGGACATCTTTCCACGTTTTTAAGCTAATGATTTTGGCCTACATTTGAACTAATTCCAAGCCTGGATTGACTACAAGTGGGGGCGCGGCATGCTTTCACTTCTTGATTAATCTATCGCAAACAGCAGGGATTGTGCTTTGCATTATTTCCATCCTGCCTTCAATGTGGATTCAAGTTCTGTTGAAAGATTCCCGTAATGTCCGTGGGTTACTGTCTGAGACGACGCAACGGCTGTTCACTTTAAGCATGCATGTTCCCAGCTAATGACTCAGCCTTTTGCGTTTCTTCTGCTGAGTGTTGCAGAAGGGTGTGTCTCTCCTCAGGCCTCAACTCGTTTCCAGAAGCCTTAAGGGCTTCTATCTTTCTCCCAAAAATAAATCACTTTTAGACCATGTTGGCTGTCAGGGAGGATGGACACGAGTTACAGAGCGGACTATCGGTGGCTCGCCTGAACTGTGCTTGGAGCTAGATTGGTTGAATTTGTATTCATCCTAAAATATGTAGTCGTGGCTTAGGCATTAATGGCCCCCATTTCAGAAGTCTGGCATTCTGGGGCTGTCATTTTAATTGTTTGAATTGAAATGGAATAAAACAGTTAAAATGTTCATTTGTGACGTTACCTTTTGTACAAAGCAGTGTTATGGCTACATGTGGGGAAAATATTTTTGAGGGGCTAAAATTAGGAAAATGTAATGTCGTGAAAGTCGGAATTTTAGCAGGTGAGTGTCAAAATTCCCACAGAAATGTAAATGCAGCAGTCTGAGACTAACAGCCGTGCTCTTTCTTTGGAGACCAAGCAGGCACAATCATTTCTCAAACACTACAAAAGGTGTTTTGAGGCTTTTTTTCCCCCCCTTCACCCCCAGACCTTTACACATGTGGATAAAACTTGATGTATTGTAAAGGAACAATTTTTTTCAATACTCAACTCAAATATTTTGTGTTCAGCACAAAACAAATGAGATGATGTGAAACATTTTTCCTCTCCTCGCTTTTTCATTGTGTCCCTAACTGCCTTCTTTCAATTACGATCAAATTCAAATTTAAAACTCCATCATTGCCTGAAGACCAATTCTTGTCGGACGTGCGAATTGAGTCATGCTCACGACGAGTTAGACCTTACATCTGGCGGCGCTGTTTGCACACTCTCGTGAGGGCTGATGATTAGGAAAATGTAATGTCGTGAAAGTCGGAATTTTAGCAGGTGAGTGTCAAAATTCCCACAGAAATGTAAATGCAGCAGTCTGAGACTAACAGCCGTGCTCTTTCTTTGGAGACCAAGCAGGCACAATCATTTCTCAAACACTACAAAAGGTGTTTTGAGGCTTTTTCCCCCCCTTCACCCCCAGACCTTTACACATGTGGATAAAACTTGATGTATTGTAAAGGAACAATTTTTTTCAATACTCAACTCAAATATTTTGTGTTCAGCACAAAACAAATGAGATGAATGTGAAACATTTTTCCTCTCCTCGCTTTTTCATTGTGTCCCTAACTGCCTTCTTTCAATTACGATCAAATTCAAATTTAAAACTCCATCATTGCCTGAAGACCAATTCTTGTCGGACGTGCGAATTGAGTCATGCTCACGACGAGTTAGACCTTACATCTGGCGGCGCTGTTTGCACACTCTCGTGAGGGCTGATGACTGAAATCGGAGCTTTGTGTGAAAGCACTGTGAAGGGAGCATCCCTCCTCTTGTCTTTTGTGTGCAGCTTGCAGGGGAAAGGAATGCTCAGCACATGAGCCGTGTGCATGTTTTGACCAAGCCAATAGTGGCCTGTGGATCTGACTTGGGAGTGGCTGCCGGGAGGGATTTGGCTCAGACAAGGACACTTTCTTCCTGCCAAGGCTTAGAATCCAAACCTCCTTTTTCCTCATTAGGTTTGAGGTTTATGGTTGTTTGCAGATGGTTAATCTGCACTGTGCTTTAATTGTCGCAAGAGACATTTTCTCCGTTGAAAGGCCCATGACATTTCCCAGAGGGCAATCACAGGTTATGATTTTGTGTTGAAGCTGTCATCCACCTCGGGCAATGTGATATATATATATATATATATATATATATATATATATATACACACACATATGTGTTTTTTTTGAGGGGGGATTAAAATTTCAATAATGCAGTTATCGTGGGTGTCAATTATACGCAAATTTTCACGGTCTGCGGGCCGCCCCAGTCCTTATCTCCTACAAATAGGGGTGGGCCACTGTACTCTTAACCGTTCGAGTTAATTCCTGCACTTCCCCTCCTAGAATGGGATGGATACCCTTGTAACTTAAAACATGCGCAACAACACTTCACCCTACAATATACATGTTGCATTGGTGTAAATCGGTTTTATTTTTGTGCCCTCAAAATGAGTCCACAGCCCTGAAACATGACTGCTTGATTTCCAACAATAAAAATTAAGTGTGGAAGTCACGACTTCACCACCTTTTTTTTTTTTTTTTAAACCTGCGGCAGATGACCTCATGACATGTGCCCCCCCCCACCTCCCTGTGCCGTTTCACTGTTCCAAAGACTGATATTAAAGTTGAATGACAATTTTCCACATTTGGAGATGGTATCAACCATGTCCAGAGGCCGCATAGCGTGGCACCTGTATGAAAAGCACGACCCAAGGGTGAGGCTTGCGTCTCAAGCAACAACTGCTTTCATCACAAATATTAGACTCTGTGCTAAAGGACAAGTTTGGAAATGTGGTGCCTTCTGCTTTGATTCTCATGCCACAAACTTGTACAAGAGAAACTGAAGTGGGTCTTAACTTTAGAGTTTAAGGTTTGTAACCCCAAACCAGAGTTAGGCGATTATTCGGATTTTTGACAGTTTCAGCGCCTCGTCATTACACAGATGTGTACGGTAATTCTGTCGGTAAATTTAGTCTTATTTTGTAGCTTTTGCTGACTGCCATAATGCCTGGACTCAAAAGCCAAAATCCGCAATTGATGTTTGAATGGATTACTAATATGTTGTTTTCTGAAAAACATGTCACAGTAAAATAAAAATTAGAATGTCATAATGGTAAAAGTGCACTTTTACAGTGCTTCATCTTTTTTCAACCCCCCCCCCCCAACGCACTGACAACGCAACATCGCCCTTTGGTTTAAAATAACTTACTTTTACCTACAGAATCCCTCACCGTTAACGGTCTCACGGCAGAACACAGGGTGTTCTTTTAACCATCCATTCTTTTTCTGAAGCATTCATTCTTTTGGACTGATTTTAAATCCATTTGCTTATCATCACACTTTTCCACGGAAATCGGGCATTCTTGATCAGTGGTAAACGCGTCATGCTACCTCACCCTTGACACTGGTTTACATTAGCCCAGTTTTAAATACATGTAGTTTGACAGTAAACTTAAACTGGGAGTCATAAACGGCTTGAAGCACCCAGTAGGCTTTTTGTTGTTGTGAAATGACTTGAGTTCATTGCCACCATCGAGACCTCTTACCTATCTGATATTTGCTGGCACGTGTATGTTCTTGGTGAAGGCTATCGAGCCTGTTTTATGATCAAATGTGTTTCTGGAAATGTTCCCCCTTCATTCCAGAATTTGTTACCTGATGTCAGATATCACATTGAGGAGCATTTGATTTGTTCTGTGGCCCATGTCTATTAGTGTCACTACTCTAATCAAATGTTTCTCCCCTTCCAATAGTCGCTGCTGGATGAGTATTTAATTAAGAACTCCAAACAACAAGAGAGCAAAGTTTTTTACCTAAAGATGAAGGGGGACTACTATAGATACCTCGCTGAAGTTGCCTGCGGGGATGCCAAAAAAAGTAAGTGCACTCACTCACTGCATTTAACTTTTATGAATTGCACATATATTTGAATTATTAGGACCTGCTTCATAACTTTGCATACATAACATTGCACGTATCATAGTATGTCTCAATTTTGGCTGGAAATGATGAAACGGCCTCATTTCAGAACTTGGAGCAGTAGTGGGTGGTTGCTGACTCAACTTTCCGCACAAACTCAGTGATTGTGATGGTCTGATTTGATCGATCAGCGTTTTTCCTTCTGATTCACCATGTCACCCAATAGGCTCCGATTGATTTGTTGTCTACCCTTTAAAAGCCAAGGATAAAATGATTGGGCTTTTATCCAGTGATGGTCTATTTCTTGAATGTGAAACACATGTATATTCATCAGGTATCATCGAAAACTCGCAGCAGGCCTACCAAGAAGCGTTTGACATCAGTAAGACGGACATGGACCCCACACATCCCATCCGCTTGGGTCTGGCTCTTAACTTTTCGGTCTTTTATTACGAGATCCTCAACTCTCCAGAAAAAGCTTGTGAACTCGCTAAAAAGGTTTGTGCTCAACTTCACACTGTTCTCCACTGTTTGGGCCCATTCTCTGTTCAAATTGTTCCATTCCCCGTTTTACTTGCAGGCGTTTGACGAGGCCATCGCTCAGCTTGACCAACTAAATGAGGAGTCCTACAAAGACAGCACCCTCATCATGCAGCTCCTCAGAGACAATCTGACAGTCAGTGTCCTCTTCTCATTTCAAGGGTTTATCGACTAGGGCTGGTCCGATCGACTGGATCAGTATCGGATCGCTATGAGAATCAGTCCAGAACAATCCATAAGCCCAAACGATGATATCTTTACCTTCACTCTGTGTGACATACGTTAGCACAGACTAGTGTTGCACTAAGAACTTGGACCAGTAAACATATTGTGAATTTTACAAGGCAAAAATAATGTACCGGTGAAGTAAACGGTCTTGCACTGTGTCACGTGACTCGCAGTAGGCAAGAGCCTGCCTGTGACACGTGTAAGGTTAAATCCTTCCCTTTTGAATAAATAAATGAGTCTGGATGTGTATGTTGGCACGTTCACAGGCATCTAACTGAACTAGCACAATTTGCTTTTTATAAAGGAAGGACTGTGTGAGCCCCATTCCCAGAAGCGAGGCATTTCCCGTTTGGAGCTGGCGCACTTATTTGATCCAGTGTGTGGTGCATGAGAAATTAGAAATACTGTTAATTGGTGGTGTTGTAAAGCACTATGGATATGGTCACTTGGGTCTCCAGTTATTAACTGATCACAACCTTAAAATCTGTAAATAATTTGTGCGTTAAAGCGAAAGGCTGACGCAGGGACCTTTCATGCCGAGTAGCGAGGAGGTGCTTTGTAATTGAGTATTTGTCTTCGTTTGTAATACACTCACCTTTTCTGGTTCATCTATAAAACGTGGAATAAATAAACATTGTCACATGGCCACGAGCTGTTGCCATGTGCCTTTGTTTTCATCATGTAAGCAGTTGTACAGTGAACGTTGTGTTTTTAGGTTTCAGTATCAAATTACATCCACTTATAACTAACAACCTTTTGACTGACATGAAAAATTGGATTGATATTTGCCTATCCTGGAGACTGCAGTAGTTGTATCGAATCCCTGTTATCGATGTTTCCTTAAATGATTGAAGAGTTCAATTTGAGCTTGAGAGTTTTGGTTACATTTTAGACATCGGAGACCAGGCGGGAAGGCTGTAGGTGTTGTTGACGCTCTTTAATCTGCCTCTGTTTCTCTTCCAAATCATTGGATCTATTCGGTTTTTAAAAAATACTGATTCCTTCTCTGACAGTGGCGGTCCAGAGATTTGTCTATGTCCATTGCGAATTCCTCCCAATGGGTGTATTCGATTTTCAACTTTGGAAGGCCCACTGTGATAATTTGTACATAACCAGAACAAAGTAGCACGAAGGAGTTTGTTACATTGACAGATGTAGTTCGAAATTGATAGTGTCTGAAGATATTTAAGTTACAATGTTTCCTTTGACCTGCACAGTCACAGTTGGATATTTTTTTAAATGCAAATTGTATCTTGTTTCTCTCCTCAGCTATGGACATCAGACACCGCTGGCGAGGAGGGCGAAGCAGGAGAAAGAGGCGATGGCGGCGAAACTGAGAACTAGAAGTCCTTGGCCTCCAACAAAAGGATTAAGAAAAAAAAACAAAAAAAAACTTTTTACACATCCGCCATTCCTTATTGCTCCAATCCAACATTCTTCCAATGAAACCCATTGCTGAAACAAAGTAATTATGTAATCATAAAAACATTTAATTGGGGGGTGCGGGGAGGACAAAACAGATTAGGATGACCTGTTAGAGTAAAACCCTCCATTCCTTTGGTTTGTGTGTGTCCTGGCCTTTCAGTATGTGCAATTTCAGCTGTAGAAAAGTATTGATAGCTTGACATGGTATTACGCTCTTTTCCTAAAGTTAGAGACAGAAACCCTCAGTCGTTACATCGATCAACTGGAAGTTTATCCTCTGAGGAAGATTTCGTTTCCAGGTGGTAATCTTAGTTTCCTTTTCCTGCGCTATCAAAAAATAAATACATAAAATAAAAAATTGTGGTACGGTTACAGCGTCTGAAATTACACTCAGATAGTTTTCATGCTGCAGGGAATGCCAGTGGTGCATGCATGCTGGCAGCAAATACTTAGCAGTTCCCCATTGGATTAATCCTCACTTTGAGGCCACTCTTTCACTAAAGCATGTGTGTTGCGGGAGGGTGGACGCTGTAGCGGGGGGCTTGACTGACTGACACGGTGGTAACGTTTAATTCAATTCTGTCATTGCATGTCTCTTGAGATATTACACTGGAATGGGAACAAATGCTGTAACACAAGTTCAAGTGTCAAGTTTAATATTTTTCAACGCAGGTTTGTACACATCCTAAAAGAGGGTGGTCTGTTTGTCTGTCCAGTGATTGTCATTAGAGATTTGGACCACTATTGTTTTGCTATTCATTCAATTGTAGTCCCCTAAAGCCTTGTGGAACTGTTTGAATCCCTGTGTAACAGCTATGTTAACATGAATAAATCATTTTATAAACCATTCTGTGTGCGCGCGCAATTATTTTCTGTATTGTACTGTATCTCACTGAACCTTTTTTATCCTTGTCAAAAATTCCGTCATGGGAGCAAGATTGCCTATCCAAACAAATCTTCGACTGGTTTGCATTCAGTCAGAACACATGGAAGACCACTCGTCCACCTTTCTGGACCATTTTGACTAATGTTCAATGAACTGAAGAGTGCTCTTAAGAAAAAAATGAGACAATTATCTGTACAAACAAAATGGAGTGGGGGGCGGGGGTCTAGGGATTTGTTTCTTTCTGAGGTGTTTTGGGACAGCTTTTTTTTTTCTATGCCAACCTCATGTCATGATCATAGAAAAGTTTCACTGGTCAATAGCAAATACAATATACGGTATATATACAGTATCAGAGTTGGGTTTATGTGTACCTAATGTAGTTTTGACAGATTAAAAAAAAGATTAACATTTACTGTGTGTGTGGATATATATATTATATCGATAGATATGACTGTGTGTGTGTGTGTGTGTCTTTCAAATTCAAATATTTAGAAAAAAAAACCGTTGAGCAGTTTTAATTATTCTAATAATTAAAAGAAACGTTTACAGTGTTCAACTAATCAGTCGACTGGTGACAAATAACATGCAGTACTGTTAAAATGCTCCCCGGTACGCGGATGACCCGCTTTGGTACGGAAAAAGGCTCGCTGGATGACGTTGCGTGATGAATTGCTTGACGACACTCCGAGCGGAAGTTGTCGCTCTGTCAACTTCCACTTTGCTCCCGCTAGCTTCCCCGACGGGCTGGTTAACTTTGTGACAATGTCGGTGTCTTTGTGATATTTGTTTTCAACGTTGTTTCACCATGTGGAGCATGTGCTTATTTGTTTTCCTGGCTCACTTTAGCTCGAGTGGCGCTTTTAAATCAAGACTTACGGTTGAAGAAAACAGCGAAGCTAACGCAGAAATTGGTAAATATTGCTCTCTTTTTTTAAGCTAGTCATTGTGTGGTTGATAAAAAAAATAACGGCGCTAATAATGGCGACTTAATCTTACTTTTCATATACCTGCCTTAATTCTGATTCAATTTTTTGGAAGATATTAGGTTTGTTGTAGTTGCTAACAAGCACGCGCTTTTGGCGTGACAGCTGTGTTTTTCTCAGCAATAAGATGCTCTGTTGTTCTGATTCATAATAGCCATTATCTACTTATTCCTGACTGGTTTCGCCTTATCTTTCAGATGCACTTAATTCCATTCTCGCTGATTTTGAGATTCTGCCAGTGTCAGACCTTCAGTTGCATTCTGTGAGGAAGAGGGACGTGCACACCCCGTCTCACCTGGAGCGACTGGTCAGCTTCAGAGCCTTGCAGAGGTGCACAAGGAGTATTCAAACTCCATCATTTGTCTCTCACTGTTGTCATTTTATTTTAGGATTTGTGTTCTTTTATGGGGGGAAAAAGGTAGCTTGGAGTTCTTCTCATTATATGCTTGTTAGATTGAGATTTTTTTGTATTGTACCGAACCATACTTGGAGTCCTTGAAGCATCTGAAAGAAATACTTTAGTTCATTAAAGTACAGTAATCTTTACAGAAAATAAGTGTGGTAGAATTTGAATTCCATTTTCACATGTGGACCACTTAACGCTGTTCAGGGTCAGAGATGAGTTGGAGGTTATCCCAACCAGGGGTGTGAAAGGATTCGGGCAATGGGGCGCTGGCACCCCGCCCCCGGAGTGATTCACAGCAACACCCCAACCCCCGCACCTGTTCAGGATTTTTCAGACTCATGGTTGTACTTCGGGACACGCTAAACGGGCATCCAGCTGGGATTGAAGGAACATTACATTCAGAATACTTCTATCTGCATCCTCCATCCATCCATCCATTTTCCGATCTGCTTTATCCTCACAAGGGTTGCGGGGGTGCTGGAGCCTATCCCAGCTATCTTTGGGCAGTCGGCAGGGGACACCCTGAATCGGTTGCCATTCAATCGCAGGGCACACAGAGACGAACAATCACCCGCGCTCACACTCACACCTTGGGACAATTTAAAGTGTTCAATCAGCCTGTATCTGCATCCTGTAAAATGTAATTAAATGGCTAACAGGAATGTAGTTTTTAAATTTCATGTATTTTTTTCAAGAACGTACAGTACATACCAGTGTCCTCGTAATTACGATACATTTTTTTTCCCCAAATCAAATCTTCTATAAAGGCTGTTGTTTTTTTAGAGGACTTTTTGTAAGATACAGCCCGTGGTCGACTGGTTAGCACGCACGTCAGCCTCACAGTGCACAGGTGCAGGGTTCAATTTCGGCTCCAGCCTTCCTGTGTGGAGTTTGCATGTTCTCCCTGTGGCTGTGTGAGTTTTATCCAGGTACTCCGGTTTCCTCCCAGATTCCACAAAGATGCGTGGCAGTACAGGATTAGGGATTTTAAGGTATTTTCCTCTTCCGAGAGGCACTCACTACAAAGGTGATGTCACTTCACGAGAGAATCACAGCATCCATAAAATACAAATGACATGACATGTCTTGCAACATTACACAATGCCAAACATTGAAAAATGTGCAGGTGTCTCGCATGCAAACATTGACTCTTTGTCGCGTATATGCCTGCCTACCAAACCTTATTTTCAGTATGCGGATGAAAACATCCAGGGTATGGACATAGAGAGGGTGACCTCCTACAAGTACCTGGGTGTTCTTCTCAACAACAAACTGGACTGGTCGACTAACACGGACACCCTGATCAGGAAAGGTCAGAGCAGACTTTTCCCAGTTCTGTCCTGGGCTGCTCCCTAGACACTCTGGAGGAGGTGGGCAACAGGAGGATGCTAGCTAAGCTAAAAGCTATGATGGACAGTCCCTCCCACCCCCTCCAGCCCGCCCTGACAGCACTCGGTAGCTCCTTCAGTCAGAGACTGTTACACCCGCGTTGCAAGACGGAGAGATACCGCCGCTCGTTCCTACCGACTGCTGTCAGGCTGCTGAATAAAAAATGAATAAATAAATAAATCATAAAATTATTTAAATGATATGACAACAAATGTGAATGTGAATAGTACTGTGACTATTGTATTTATATTGCACTTAATTGAACTTATTGACCTTATCCATATTTGTATTTATATTGCACTTAATTGAACTGTGTTTTCTTTTCTCTTCTTTCTACCCACAATCTTGCTGCTGAAGGCTGTAAATTTCCCCAGTGTGGGACAAGTAAAGGACATCTTATCTTATCTTATCTTAAAACCCACTTCTGTCCTTGCTTATCCCACCCTTTTAAAAAAACTCTCGTCCTACGTCCCAAAAATGGACGTCCGTCCTGGACGGACAGACTGTTCCGTCCCGGGGACGGAATGCCCATCTCTGGAATTTACCAATTTTATGGGCCCTGATCATCACCACCCATCCCCACCCCCCAGCATTCCCTCAGAGGTGCCATCTGGAAATGGGAGGCGTTTGTAATTATTGTTTTTTTTTTTTTCCTTTGTGTGTTCTCTCCAGACATTTCAAGCTGTACTTGACCACCAACACAGACCTTTTCACTGACAACTTCCAAGCTGTGTTTGTTGATAAACTCGGAAGAGAGGAAAACTTCAACCTTCAGCGTCAGAACTACTTCACGGGGCATGTGGTCGGTGAGTTCCATCACCTGTATATTTTGCTTTAACTGTTGACCAGTTTGGATACTGTGTTGTCAAAATATGTATCATCACATTTTCAGTCCGTTGATTTTTTTCACTTTTATTTTGTGGTCTCATTGTTTTGTCTATATTTATCGGTGTTAACAACCATCTACAATCAGAACATGGCGCCGTGGTTATTTTTTTTATGTGAACATTGTTGCCAAATCTTCTGCTCTTTTTGTTTTTAGGTGAAGAGAATTCTCGTGTGCAGGCACACATTGATGGAGATGAGTTTTCAGCTCACATTCTAAGTGATGAAGCAGAGTACAATGTAGAGGTATGGAGACAGGTTTGCATATTGTATGAAGTGAGCTTTTATGCATTGTTAATAAATTAGTTCACATCACTCTGTTGTTGCATGCTTTTGCTCTTATTTCAGAGAGAGGACAACAGGGACCAATTACTAATACATTATACAATGGGACCTCCAAGGTCGAACAAAATCCAGTTCATGATGCTTGTGGATCTCACATTTGTTTGCATTTGGAAATGATTTTCCCCATCTGACAGAGTTCACCGCAGATTTTCAGTTCAGTTGCTATCACCGGTTTTGCAAAAAAATATGTAAAAATAACAAAGGAAATCAAAACACACATAATCCAAGTCTTGAAATACTTGGAAGGTTTGGGTGATGCCATGCATTACAGTGATTTAATGCGTGTATATTGCTGAACATTTGGGTCACGTTTCAAATTGTACCTCTTTGGGCGAATTTCAAATCAGAGCATCCGCTGTGCCATATTGGTCATTTATACAGTATTCACCCAAGTGCAGTTTTTAATGTCTTTGAAATATTGTCCACAATTCTTTAATTCTACCGTTTTGTTCATTTTTCGCAGCCCTTATGGAGGTTTACAGACAGCACTGGGGATGATGGCAGGTTGCTGGTATATCGCTCGGAAGACATTCGGAATCTGAGCCGCATAGCCTCTCCAAAAGTGTGTGGTTACATTCACGCCAAGGACCTGCTACCTGAGGCCACCAAGGCAGCTTGGGACGAGCCCGAGGTGACGGACAAGAATAACGGTGTGTCTGCTTTTACGTCTCTCTCGTATTTGTCATCTGAAATGTACAAAGAAAGATGAAATATTTGAGTGGTTGTTGATCAGAGATGATGTCAATTGGTTCGGAAAAGAAGGGGGGCGGGGGAAGCGTAGGAGGAAAACAAATGTCTATGCTGGAGGAGGTTCTCATAGTTAGACAAAGCGGTGTGGGTGTCAAATTCTTTGTGCTGTCACTTAAAAAAAAAAAACACATCTATGCAGATCCACTATTGTGCTTAGGAATGATTATGTCAAATTACTGTGCCGCTTCGAAAATGTAAAGCATGACTAACGGTTAGTTGTACGCCTGTGGACACTGCCTGCCGCTGGTTAGTAGAAAATGCAGTCTTCCCGGTTGAGGTGAAGTTTGTACTGCAGGAGGTTTTCAAATTGATGGAGATTCTAGCTAGCTAATGAGAAGAGTTGTCCCTGTGTTTCCCACTGCTTATTGTGCAAGGACGCAGAGCGCACGCCCACATCTCGAGTGAGTGCATCGCTTACTGTCAGGAGATGCTGGATTCAAATCCCAACACTTGCTCGTCTGTATCCTGACCTTGATTGACACTTGTCAGAGCAGTGTTCATTTCACAATTTGAGAACTGTCGTGGTTGTGTGTCGTTTAAAGTGGTGCTCTTTTACAGTATCCTATCCAGTGTTGCTTGCCTTCGAGTAATTAGTTTCACTTCTTAATATGAAACATGATGCTCAGTGTAATGCATTCAAATTTCTGTTTGCTCTGTCTTGAAGAGCTCCCTGAGAAAGCTGAAAGTGAAGTAGTTGAACATGACATCAGTGTTTACTTTAAGGGTGTATTGTTGTGTTTTTATCCCCTTGCCAGCCAACCCCGTACTGATGTTTGTCTGAATATGACAGTGAACACGTCAGTTGCTCTTTCTGTTTATGCCCGCCTAAAGCTGCACCTTTCACTTTGCAGATATTCATCAGAGAGAAAAGCGCCAAGTCCACGACCCCAAGAAGAACACCTGCCCTCTGTTGCTGGTCGCCGATTACCGCTTCTTTAAACACATGGGCCGCAGACAAGAAAGCGTCACACTCAATTACCTGGTCAGGAACCGAAAACCAAAAGCTCTGTTTGGCTAATAAAATGTAGATTTTGTGTGTTGTAATATTTCCTTATTATGTTTTTCTTGCTGCAGATTGAGCTGATCGATCGAGTCGATGACATTTACCGAAATACAACGTGGAACGAAGACTTCAAAGGCTACGGGGTGCAAATACATCAGGTTTGTGTAATATACTATGGTGTCACCAAAGAGACTTCACTTTTTGCTTTGTCACTGCAGGAAGTGACTGACTGGTCCCCTCGTTGAGACATACATTCTAAGAGGAACTGAAAGCTTTTGTGTGCGGCTCATTAAGTTTGTTCCACTGGTGTTGCGAATGAATGGGCACACTGTTTATTGTACCGTGACCAGCCTTTTCTCACTCAAAAGATATGCATTCATTATTCACCCACACCAAATAATTTCTCGTTCACCCCAATGTGAAGAACTTTTGCCCTCCATTCCACCAAGGGTGTTTTTTTATGGTTTAAAGGACATAAAATGTATGTGATGTTTTGACTTTCCTGTCAGTTATTACGATTGACTCACAGTTTTTGAGATTGGGGGTTCAAATCTGATCTACTGCCTTTCTCTGTGGAGTTTGCGTAGTCTCGCCAGGCTGGTTTGATGTCGTTTTATGATTTTTTTTTTTTTTTGGGGGGTCTATTCTAAGATGATCATCCACAAAGAGCCCACTAAACCTCCTCCTGGTCGTGCTAGCACTGGCTGGGTCCACTACAACATGGAGAACAGCCCTGTGCGAGGGAAGGTGGTTTGGGATGTCAAGAAACTTCTGGAGGTCGGTGGGGAGAAAGCAATGAAAAAAAACAATACAACCTCAGCCACAGTACCTCAAATAATGAAGTAATTCTCAAATTGTCTCCAGCAATTCAGCTCAGACATAGCTGACAACGCGTCTTCTGTGTGCCTGGCCCACCTGTTCACCTATCAGGATTTTGACGAAGGCACCCTGGGCCTCGCCTATGTGGCCCCCTCCAAACCTCTGGCCATGGGCGGCCTCTGCCCCAAACGTAAGGACACTGGCCCTGTTTTAAAAAAGCCTGCCTTATAAACAAAGGTTAACATGGCATTCTTCTGGTGCTGCCTGCAGCCTGTATTTCTATTTAATATGGAGGGTGTAGAGATGCTATATCTACTGGATATGTGGAAGTAGGATAAATACTGAACTTTTTTTTTTTTTTTGCTTTTCCAGCTTATTATCCATCTCTGACTGCCAAGAAGCCCAGTTACCTCAACACCGGCTTGACCAGCACCAAGAATTATGGCAAAACAATCCTGACAAAGGTGAAGGTCACCCATAAGAAACGTTAAACTGATAATAATGTTTGCAAGCTTAGCCATGATTGGTCGTTGCCTGAGCACCTGTGATGTCATTTTTAGTCTATAGCAAATGGCAAAATGGCCGCGCCCTGGGATGGATAAAAATAGGAGGACATTGCTGCTTAATTCCTATTCCAGCAACACAGTCATTATGTTGCTGTATGTAACATACCAGGGAAGGTGGTATTGGAATGTCAAGAAGCTTCTGGAAGTAAACTTTCAGCTCTCAGCTTTGTTTTAAATGTTTGCGAATTTGTTCAACATACAAGGACGTACTTGTCCCATCAGGAGGCAGATTTGGTGACCACTCATGAGCTGGGCCATAACTTTGGAGCCGAGCACGATCCGGACAACATTCCATATTGTGCTCCCAGTGATGACCAAGGGGGGAAGTTTGTCATGTACCCAATTGCTGTGAGCGGAGACCATGTCAACAACAAGGTACCTACATCATACCGCTGCTTCTTTTCTTCTTCATGTAGGACTAGACAAACACCACAGGCTAATATTGTTGAGCAGGTGTAAAATCTCAGCTTGGATGACGCCCGACCAGAGTGGCAAAACTTGAGGGCAATGTGTGATACAATGTGTGAAAGCCAGTTTGAAATGACCCTTGTCAGTAACATGTATTAACAGCAAACTGGCCTCCACTTTGGCTTTACAAAAATTATTCTCAATATTTATTTGTTGTAATTGTCAGGAGAGAATGCACAAAAACAGTCCAAACAAAACAAAGTGCACATTTTTGTGCTTGTGATTTAATAAACCGATAAATCTGAAAAGTTATTCTAATGTGGACTGCTACAGATGCGCCACTTGCAGTCAGATTTAACCCCTTCAATGTCTCCTCTTCCAGCGTTTCTCCAAATGCAGCAAGATCTCCATAGGAAAGTCGCTGCGTTACAAAGCTCCCATGTGCTTCAAGGAAAGGAACAGCAACGTGTGTGGGAACTCCCGAGTGGAGGAAGGGGAGGAGTGCGACCCCGGCTTGCTGCACCTCAACGACGACGCTTGCTGCTCATCTAGCTGCAAATTCAAATTAGGTTCCCAGTGCAGGTATGAAATCTGACATTATACTCTAAACAATAATACACTTTATTCCTTTTAAACCTGTTCACCCCACTCACACTCTAAATATTTGACAGTGGATTTTTGTGGATATTTTTCACTCTCTGAACACACGCACTTTCTTTTTTTCTCACAGTGACAGAAACAGCCCGTGTTGCAGAAACTGCAAGTTTGAGCAGGCAGGAAAAAGGTGTCAAGAGCCCATCAGTGCCACGTGTAAGGGCATTGCCTTCTGCACAGGTAGTTATGCGCCCCCTGCTGGTCAAGCAGACACAATCAACTGAATCTAACATTAATCCATTAAAAAGGCGCTCAGTGGTACTTCGAAGTAGGCCTATCATGATCATTATTATAGCAATTTATCGTTCGATAAGTAAACTGGACACAGTATTTTTTTGTTCCAGACTCATTAAGCTGGTCATTTGCATGCATATTTGTTTACATACGTCATCACCATTCAGTCACTCTTGGTAACTGTTCAATTAGAAATAATTTGTTACAAATTACAAACTGAATTATGAAAAGTCTAAAGGAACCTTATAAATAATCATACCAGCAAGCAGAAATTAACCAGTCTAAACATTCATTAATTAAGGGTTGGCAGTAGGACTTGCAGTTGGTCTCCTGGAACCGGAAGATTGCTGTTCTAGTCCCGCTACATGCAAATATAAAATGACAACTAGTTGTTGGAGGGATGCCTGTTTGAGTGCAACCTCCTCACTCTGTCATCTCTACTGCCATATGTGGTGTACAACAGAAAATATCCAGCAAAGTGAGTTGAATTTCACTTTGAGAGATTAAAAAGACTATACTATATTTTTCAAAACAATAAAATCTCCTTCAGCACTCTCTTATCTGCTGAATGAAAAGGACACACAATATTTCTCTAATCATCAATGTAACATACATTCAATTATTAAGATGAAATAATAACACACAACACTCCAGTGGCAATCATATGGAAGCTACTTTGGTTAATGCCTTAACCAAACCAATACTGCTCAGTCATAGGCATGACTGCTAGCAATCATCTCCTCCAATAATTACCGGTACACAAAAATGGTGGCCAAATGCCAAGTGTTCCAAGCCTTAAGGTTTTTGACCTTCAAGGGAGCAAAACATTTCAAAGTCGTCATACAGCTGGCTGTGTTTTACTTCCAGGCAACAGCAGTGAGTGTCCTCCCCCTGAAAATGCCATCGACGACTCGCTTTGCGTGGACAACGGCCGGTGCCGCAATGGAGAGTGCAACCCATTCTGTGAGGCTGTGCAGAACCTTCAGTCCTGTGCCTGCAATGGTATCCAATGCCGCATATGCAACAAACACAAGAAAAAAAAAGTGATGAGTGTTTTTCACCCTCCTATATACAGCAACAGAGGATTCCTGCAAAATGTGCTGCCGGACAAAAGGTGGCACCTGCGCCCCCTTCGTCCAATTGGACGGCAGTTTCCTTTTTCTACGTAAAGGGAAACCTTGCACTGTGGGCTTCTGTGACGAGAACGTGAGTGTGGAAATGTGAGCTCCAGACGAGACATTGTCACCTTCTGATTGGATTTTAAGGTGATGCTGATATTTCTGCAGGGGAAGTGCATGAAGCAGGTGCAGGATGTAATCGAGCGTCTCTGGGACTTCATTGACAAACTGGACATCAACACTTTTGGTACGTGCTTGATGTCACACAACCACATGGAACCGCCAAAACTTTGCATATTTAATTTATTTGTCTCCCCATCAGGGAAGTTCCTGGCAGATAACATTGTGGGCTCTGTTATTGTGTTCTCGCTCATCTTCTGGATCCCTCTTAGTATTCTCGTACACTGCGTGGTAAGAACCTAACTTTCATTCTGCCAAGCGGCTTTGAATTGTAAAAATATTTAACCTTATTGTCGTGTTGCTGTTCTCTTACAGGACAAGAAACTCGACCAGCAGTATGAGGAGAACACTATGTCGCTGTACTGCCCTCTGAATGTAAGTGCATTATCGCTTACAAGTTCCCTGTGTGCATTTTGAAAGTGCCTTTTGAAGAAATCTGTGGTGAGCATGGGAGATGTTTTTCCTTTGGTTCCGGTCAGTTCCATCAGTCGAACCGTAAGAAACACACACCGAACTTTTCAATAGATTCCCCAGACATTCAATATGAGAGCTGTATCAAAATTTGTCGAACAGTTAAAGAACGATAATAATAACAGCAGCTGCCCCTGTAGACACTGCCCGTGTTTTATTGATGTTTGTTATGTGAGAAGGGTGTGTCATACAATATGACATGATGATATCCTGATCCATATGTGCATTCTCAAGTACTTTCATTATGCAGAAAGATTAATTTAGTTATTTGGTCAAATCAAATCAGCAGTCAAAATCAAAATACACATATAAACCAAACATCCTACTAATCCACCGGCTGCCTCATATTTCTATTTTCCAGTTCTTATTTTCTTTCAACTTTCAAACGTACCTCAGGAACTAAAATGCACTCAGTTCTTATAACGGTTGTCAGTCAACCCCAAATGTCTTTTGATACAGCTCTTGCATTGGATTTTGCAGATGTTTCTTTCACACTTGATGGTAGGATGCAGTAACCTGGACGATAACTGGAAAGGCTTTCACCTTGACGTTTGTCTTGAGTCCCGAGGCACATTCACAATTGTGTTCAAAGTTGGAAGTTAGCGGTGGGTCTGTCGCTCCGTGCGGTCTTTCAATGACCTTTCTGTCACTCTTGGCCTTTTCTTATTGGAACTGCAGCAGACGCTGGAGGTTTGTAGTAGAGCTCCAGCCATAGGTGAGTGCGTGTGCCATGGCTTGGTGTTGCGTTGCCATCGAGTCCATGATGGTGATGGTGATGATGATGATGATGCATGGTCTGTGGGCCCACGTTTGGGATACTCCCGCACTCCTTTACTCCTTGACGTAATCGCTGATCGCCCACAAAGTCGCCGCGACGACATCCCGCACGCCATTCGATCAGAAATTACCTCAAGAACGCAAGATTGTGGCTCGGGAGTACTCAAACAGAGACTTGTTGTCGTCTGTAAGATCAGATGCAGTGTGTGTCCACATTTTCAGTTTGTATCTGCGAGGAGCAGATCAGGGTAAATTTATTATTTTATTCACTTCCTGTCTTTTACCCCTTTTTGTTTTTCGTTTCTTTTTGCACAATGGCTATTAGTTTGTTGTTTGGGGAGGGCGAGGGGGGTTGGATTGGTAACATTCCTCACAGGACACTTGAGCCTCTTTTACACAGATAGAGCAAAAATACTGCATCAGAGCCGCAACTGTGGACATTAAGCAGAATTTGTCTTTTTAACACAAGACGTTTGGTCTCCTGATAAATTGAATTTTGAAATGTGGTTGGACAGACTGTGAGTTGATTTTGGGCAAGAGGGAAGACACACCAAAGACTGGTCGCCAGCCAATCACAGAACACCCAGAGACAAGCACTGACACCCACAAGCCTTAGACAATTTAGTCTTCAAAAAACGACTGCACCGGAATGCAGAGTTTTGAACAGTTCTAATGAACTGTTGCTAGTTTTTACTAAAACACACTTTGAAAATGTAATAATAGGTTTGAAAATAAATTGCAATTGATTTTGATGGACTCTTTCACACGAACCCAGCAAAGTGGGGCTGGCCATTTTTTGGGGGGGCTTGACCTCCGCTTTGAACTTTCCACTGTTCTCCTGGCATTGTGAAGTGCCCTAACAACTCGGATTGATATATGAATCGACTGACAAAGCTGCATAGTCACTATCGGGAGAAATGAAGCCACTCGCCCACTGCAGCTAACTTGGAAGTTACCATTCACGAAACTGAGATAATATACTCGAAATGGTCCATGCAAACAGTGAAATTCATTCTTTGAGAGGCTATTATACTCCGTGCAGGGATCCTAGCATAAAACACACCCTTATAACAGTGTTTTTAGCAAAATAAATCCATAAATAACAATTTGTCAAGACCAGTGGCAATGTAAGATGGCTGCCCTCGGGCTTCAGCTGCAAGGGGCCGATTGATTGTCCATTCATCGGTCCAGGCTGAGCACAAATAGGCATATCCCGCCGCTGTTTTGGCTCTGTACAACTTCTGAAGGTGGAAAATTGCCGGCTCCAGTTCCTCCCACATTGTGTTTTTATGGAAAAAGCAGGGAACTGCCGGCTTTGCCCAGGCTTGTAAAGGGGGCTACAGTGTTGCTGTGAGACACACTTTGAACCAGGAAAAGAAATTGTGGTTTTTACCTGAGATGGATATGAGTCTCTTGGCTGTCAAATAAAAAAAATGTGGATCAGAAGTTGCGTTTCCACCAAGCAGTACAGCTCAGTTCCGTTTGCCATGGTGCACTTGTGACTCAAAAACTTGACACCATCTGTTCATAATAGGGCATTCTTAATAAATGGGACATTTTGTATTTTGCAGATTTCCTTATGATGGCACAGGTTTACCTGAACATCACAATGCTAGGCAGCTATATTAGAATTACTCACATCCAATTTTTAACAGATTTATTTTTGAAGTTGTGTTAAGACAATATGTTTCAGGTGTCTCAATACCAAAAATAATGAGAGAGTACAGTTCTTCTTAAAATGTTCTGAGCACCCATTTCCATGCAGAAAATTGCTCTGTCCATCAGATCTGAATGGATATAGCACATTTTTGGTGGTTCTCAAGTAGATGAGTTTTAGGTCATATGTTTGCTCTGACCGACTGATCAGAAGATGGAGAAATGCTGACGTTATTGAGGGGCCAGTGCTCTGGCCCTTTGAAAACATCCGTCAACAGTTTATTACTGGCTCTGGACACCAACTAAGGCTGCAATCTTTTTGGACAAAACTAAATTAAGATCCACACACATGTACTTGAGGCAATGTAGCCACAAGAAACACTACAAAATGAAGGCGATACAGTAGACCGTTCTCTTATGAGAGATTTATGGCTACGTAAGAATATGCAGAAATCAATCTGATTATATTCATTTTCAGTCAGTGTCCTAACCAAGAAAAGGGCTTCCCGGTCTGAGACAAACTGTGATGCTTGGTGGAAATAAAGTTAAAATGTCACACTAATTTGAGCAAAAACGGTATGGATCCCACCTCAGGTCCCCCGCAGTTGACACCTGCATGTGCCTCAACGCCTTTTCGTCTCCTTCCAGCAAGAAATCTTGAGCAACCTGGAGACGGCGCTCATGCGCATCGTCAAGCCTCCTCCGCCTCCCTCTTCCCCCTCCGCCGGCCCGACCGCGCCCTTAGCGCAGCCCCGCCAGGTGGCGGCCGGCACCGTTTCAAACCCGACCACCGGCCTGAGCTATGTGCCAACGCCGGAGGACGACTGCAGCGGGGGGCTGCGGATGGCCACCATTCAGGAGGACAACAGCAGCGACTCTCACCCGGGAGAGGAGGCGGTCCGGCCCGACGAGTTCCCAACCGCAGGAGCCTCCTTGTCGGCTACGAAATCCTCCTACGAGGATCTGAGCGATCACAGCCCGTCAGCTGGGGAGAGGCGGCGCCTCAAGAGGCAGGAGTGCTTTGACGCCAAAGAGACAGAGTGTTGATTCCAGTTGTTGTGTAACTAACACATTAGCACATTGACCTTAAAGCTACCTAGCAAGGATATCAAATACATTCACAAAGAACTTTCTATACTCCAATCAAGATGAACCACCTGCCATTGAAGTGTCATTTCCTCTGTCATTGTACCTCAAACATATTTTAGACAGTATTTGCTCGCCACAAGTTGCCGTGTTGCACTCTGAAACAATTTCCGCTGCGTTTTAGTGTGCAAAACCACTGAATGATCATCTTACTGTAATTCCCCGCTATTTGTCGGGGAGAGGGACCAAGTCCTGCTGCGGATAGTGAAAAATAGCCAGTAATTTAAGCCCCCCCTCTTTCAACTTTGTATAGGATTGCATATGTTAATAGTTAAAAGCATGAATTCCAAATCCTAACTTTTTAGCGGTCATAAAAAGCTTTTAAACAGCAAAGATGTGTCAATTTAAGGGACAGTACTTCCTTGGCACCAATTACTACACTTCTATTGTGCCATTGTGTGTCACTATATAAAGAGTACACAATACGGCGAGAACCTGAAGTAGGTGAGAACCATTTGTGAATAGTTAACCGCGTTCATGCAGAAGATTACCACATCCATATGCGTTGTGTCATGACTGGCTCCTTTTTAAGTGCTTTGTGTGACCCCTGACTGCAAAATACTGTTGTGCCTTTCTTGGACTGTTATTCATTCCCTCTCATGAAAAGCGAAGCAGGAAAATGGAAATCCTGTTGTAAAGCTGTGAGGTGCTTTAAGTTGTGTTACTGTTTCATTTGTGTGCTCGTGTCAAACTGGTCACAGTGTCTTGCCACTGTTGCCTGCTATTTAAGTTTAAGCCAAAACCGCAACGTGGCTGACATGAAATGAAAAGATGTGAAACTGTTACTCAGTGAAATGCTTTTATTCATGTCCATTGCTTGCATGACTTACACACATCCCAATAAATGATTTAATTACATACAGAAAATGTGACGTTGTTCAAGCTCTTCCAAATAAGAGTCCTCATATCGTCTTGTCCATCTTCTTCATTGGTCGCACAGCAGGCTGTTCTCAGGGACCCCGGCGTCCACGTCCCCCCAGTAGGGCAGGATGAAGGGCAGATGAGCCACTCTGCTCTCCAGAAGCTTCCAAAGGTGTTGCATCATAAACTGGTTGCCTTTTTCAGACAGGTGGAGACCATCCGACAGGTAAACTGTGAAGTCCTGTGGAGATTAGATCCAAATATGTTAGTTGGATGCATTCACTTACTCAACGTGTGATTGTGGCTGGGATTTTTTTTTTGAAATAACACCAAACCTGTCCGTCTTTCTGCATGAGCGTCCACAAGTCCAAGACGTCAACGCCGCACTGAGTAGCCGCCTGAACACACGCCTGAGCGTACTGACCCGCCACAGAATTCAGTCGATTGAGAGGACAGCCTGGGGCGCAAAAAGACACTCGATGAGCTTCAGTGGAGACACCAATGTACATGAAACTACCTTTCAGCTTGCACTCTTTCTCCCAGGCTGCCTCATGGATTGGAGGAGGGGTTATGAAGATGACCTTTCCTGCAGGGACCCCGGCCTTGGCCAGGTAGCTGCTCATTGCTTTCAGGTTCTCTGAGTACTCATGAAGAGGGACGTGTTGCTGAGGGTTCTTATCTACATGCAGATGGGAATAGTATCAATGTGTGAGTCCTACAATGGCACATCCACTACAGGAGGTTTAATTTAACTGTTTCAGTGACAGCGCTTACTACAGTGGACAGCTTATCATGATATCAGAACAAAATGTGAAATGCATTGGAAATATAAACTCTTATTGCAGCGTGTCGTGGCGCGTATACCTCCGCCTCTGAGGAAACTAGATCGCAACGTCGCATGTCGGTGCTGTCGTAAACGAGGAGGCAGAATGAGAAGTTGTATACCTTGCAGGGCGCAGTCGTTGGCTCCAAAGAAGACAGTAACTGCTGAGATGTTGGCCAACTCGTCCTGATGCACTATTCGGGGAAGAACAATCCTTCCCCATCTGGAGTTGTAGCCTGACAGTCCTCTGTTAACTACGTCACACTTCCTGCTCGCACAACATATCTTTATTTATATAGCGTTTTCACAACTGAAGCTGTAACAAAGCGCTTTACACAATGTGACATAAAATAATAATAATATAACAACACATAGCATAAAACATTTGACAATAATACAACTATTCCGACAGGTCTTGTTTGGACACACATTTCCATCGATTAGTCTCCTAAATATACATCGACTATGATAGTACAGAAACGTGGAAGGCAACAGACCTTGCTAATTTATCGGCGATGCCGGAACCCCATCCGTTCACTTGAAAGGAATTCTGAAAGAAGTAAACAAAGTCAGCTAACAACATGTAGCACAGCAGCGAACGAACATCTACAACTGAAGCTCCATTCCTAAAGTCAGCTGACCTGGGTGATGGAATCCCCGAAAAGAATAACTTGAGGCCAAATTAAAGTTTTCAATCTGGACATGGCGTTTTATTGTCATAAACCATTCACGCACACTTGACGCTCGAGTTGTAGGGCGCATGCGCAACTCTCAATATCTTTTCGGCACGAACGTGTCAAAACAACGAAAATGTATAGAATTTTACACAGCACTACACGATTTAGTAACTATGTTAATTAAATGTATTTAAATAAAATGTCACATTTCTACGTTTACCAACGGCTTGCTGTTTCTGAAGTATAGGTAAGTATTACAAGTAGAACTACTGTACTTGGGAACTGATTAGTGCGAAGGACTTCCACTTTTTTACATACTGATGAAATAACAAATTTGCTCAAATTACCTTTATTTATATACTCATCCTCTTAAAATAATGGTCTAAGCCATATTTTGAGAAAAAAATTGATGTCTTTTTGCTTGAAACATCTCAGGTTCCGTTTTACGTGCGCGCGCGTGTGTGTGTGTTTGAGGGGTGAGAAAAGGTGGTGGGGGTGGAAAAAAAAAAGGACTTCGGCTATTACTTTAGGAACGCGACGATATGCCATTGCAATGGTCAACATCCATCCATCCATCCATCCATTTTCTGATCCGCTTTATCCTCACAAGGGACACGGGGCGTGCTGGATCCCATCCCAGCCGTCTTCGGGCAGTAGGCGGGGGACACCCTGAACTGGTTGCCAGCCAATCGCAGGGCACACAGAGACGAACAGCCATCCGCGCTCACACTCACACCTTGGGACAATTTAGAGTGTTCAATCAGCCTGCCATTCATGTTTTTGGAATGTGGAAGGAAACCAGAGTACCCGGAGAAAACCCACGCAGGCCCAAGGAGAACATGCAAACTCTACACAGGAAGCCATACATCCATTTTCCAATCCACTCATGCTCACAAGATTTTGGATTTTACCATGCATTGTCATTTATAGCTGCGATGTTTAAGGAAAAAAAAAAGTATACCTTTTGCTGAAACTAAGAGGGTCCAATTAACCTATGGTGCATGTTTTTTGGCATGTGGGAGGAAACCGGAATACCCGGACAAAACCCACGCAGGCAGAACACACAAACTCTGCACAGGAAGTGTGAGGCGTACATGCTAACCCGTCAACCTCCATGCTGCCAAATATAAATACACTTAATTTGAAAATACATATGGGGTGTAAAAAAAGTCATTAACAGCATCAACAAATCGCCATTGTTCTGTGAAAAACACACTGTCCGTGTTTCGGACTGCCCATTAGTCTAAACATTTTTAAAAAAGAACACTAATAATCATACACATTTTTTCACAGGACAATAATGAAATATAATGTTTATTTATGCAATATTCAAAGAGCAGTAATTTTCTAAGTTTGATACTCGTACTACTAGTGGTACGCGGACGTCCTCTGATGGCATGTTAAATAATTACTGAATTAAATATTCAAACTGTGCATAATATACAGTGCCTTAAATGTTTTATTTAATCCAGTACAGTGCATTTGTAAAGTACAGTTCAATTGTATTGTATTTCACATTTAAGAACATGTATTTTCATTTAATCTTCAAGAACTCTTTTGTTTTCAAACAGTTACAACGTTGCATAACTTTTATGTGCAATACATTTTAATTCAATCATTGTTTCAATACAGTTTTTAATTTGTTAATTTAAGACCAGTGTCGTTGTTCAAACTGTGCATAATGTTACAGACGATTACACATTTTACTAAATACATTTTTAGGGATAAAACGTCCCTTCTTATGAAGACTTGGGTCAACAATGCCACTGTTTTTTAAACATTGGTCGTTATAGTGGCATTTAGAGCGGTACTAATTGGTGTCAAAAGTTTAGGAACCAGTGGAGCAGAGTATACATTGACAACAGTACAGTCTCTACTGTAATATTATCAAGCATCTCCACAAAATCTCTTCTTTCTTTATTAATTTTAATAATTAACTTATGTACCAAATACATTTATTACATTAGAAAGAGACTTTATGAACACGCTCTACAAATGCAGTAAATACGAACAAATATTGGGGGAATAAACGAAAATTGTGTGCCGTTTTTAACCTTCAATTTTGCCCTCCGTGGCAATAGGGGGCGCTGCACAAATACAAAAAAAAACACTTCCGTGTTGAACTCCACAAACATGGTGGAGGTTATGCTTCGTTTTGGCAGAAGGACTTTCAACATTACGCCGAAAATATGCAACTACTCAGCACTGAAACCTATTAGGAAGCACGAAGAAGGTACGGTGTATTCATCGACGTTATCCACTGGCGTTTTATTTGTGGATTTTAACCGTGATCGAGACGTAAAGAACCGGCACTTAACTCCTTGGACAACGCGTGATGTTAACGGACGTTTTGTTGATTATTGCTTAGGGATGAAGGATAATAAAAGTGTCAGTCACACACATGCTTGTGTGTGGCGGGGACACGGAAATGCTTTGGGGATTTTCTTCAGCACTTGTCCGGGCTCCTGTTGGAGTCATTTAACTTTTATCAGGACTTACGTCAATGGCGACCGAGAGGAGCCTCTTTACCGAAGCAAAACGGGCTACTACGACATCCTCGGCGTGTCCCCAAAGGCTACCCAAGCTCAGATCAAAACCGCCTACTACAAGCAGTGCTTCCTCTACCACCCGGACAAGAACGCCGGCAACGACGATGCCACCGTCCGCTTCTCGGACATCAGCGAAGCCTACGCGGTGCTGGGCCACAAGGGCTTGCGGAGGAAGTACGACCGCGGCCTCCTGAGCCAGCTCGACCTGACCAACAGAGCTCGGGCCGGACCTTCCGCCACCAAATCCGCCGCAGAAGGGAGCGCGGCTGCGGGAAAGAGGAGCGCGGCGGTGGACCCCCGAGGGAGCATGTTTGACTTCGACAAGTTCCTTCGTTCGCATTACGGCGACCAGCTCCAGAGGGACAGAGACATCCGGCAACGCAAGGATGAGATGCTGAGGAAACGCCAGGAGTCTTTGGGTGAGAGGAACAAGGACAGGGCCGTAGAGGTGGGCGTCCTCATCCTGCTCTTTACGGCTGCGGCGTTGTTGGCAACCTCGAGGGGAGCGGCGAGCTGAGGCGGCGGACTGGAACAATTTTTACTGTACCTTGAATAAGTTTTGCCCTGACCAACCAATAATAGGATGGAAGAAGCTTGACGTAATTGAGGAGGGCCAGCATCCTACCTGGACATGTTTCTATTTCTGTGACATGGCCATCTGCAAATAACTGGATTGATCCTTTGGGTTAGTTTTACTATGTCAAAATGACTGCTCGTCTGAGCAAGAAGTCCGTGGTGACTTTTTGACAGTACTGTATTGTGATTGGTGGTGCCTATTCTTATTCATAGTTTATCTACATGAAATTAAAAATGTTTAATTTCGATTGTATTTGAGGAGTAAATATTTATTTAAGGGCATACATGAAGTGCAGTTAAATCTTTATCCCATTACAGCCACCAAGGTTGTGCGTGTGCCCGTATGTATAGAGCCTGATTTGGAAAAAAATATGTTCGAAGTTTAACGAATTCATGGATCAGAATGACAAAGACATGTCTTGTATTTATTAAAACTTTGCTATTTATAATACTTTATTGAACATTCTTGTTGGGAAGTGCAAAGTTCCGGAATTGTGCCTTTTATTACGGAGAAAAAATGCCTTTGTCGTCCATGTACTGGAGTAATAAATCCATATCTGGATAATGCACAGTAAATCTGTTTTGTGTTCACTGTGTCATGCTAAGTTATCTTGAAATTGTATATTTGTGAAGCGTTCCTATGGTGTGAAGGAAAAGAAATTCAATGAGAAAGGATGACCTTTGATGCCAGTTAGTTTTTAAATACTCAACATTTAGTGTAATTAGAAATTCACAAATGTTAAAATACAAAAAGTCTTAAGTCAGTGCATTTTAACTAACAGAACATTAAATAAATGCAAGTGCTTGCAGGTAAAACAACAGAGCATATGTTACAAGTACCGACGATGAACTATTACCTCGTGAAAGTCTGTTATCCAACGCCAGTTTATAATTTAAATACTGAACATTTAGTGCAATTACAAATTCACAAACACTAAAACACCAAAAGTCTCAATTCAGTGCATTTTTTTAAACTACCTGAACATTAAATACAACTGCTTACAGGGAAAACATAACATAGCACATGCTAAAAATACTGACAATGAACTAGTCGTTCAACGACGCAAGTTAGTGTTATCCAGACCATACAATTTCAATGTGTCACTTCAAAAATGACATCACTTAAAACTTAAGTGATGGCATGAGTGACGTGATGGGGTTGAGGGCGTCAAAGAGGCGCTGCACGGCTTGTTCCACCAGTTCCCTCAAGGAATCGTCCTCTGTGTCCTCATCCTCGTAGCTCACCGACTGGTCGGGGCAGGAGAAAAGTGTTAAGTAGGTGCTACGACAGGCGCCTGTTGAGGGTGAAAAGGTCCAAAGGGCAATGTGGCACAATACAAGTCTCACCCGTGTTTCCAAGAAAATGTTCACTGTCTTCCCGTCGACGGTCACCGAGATGTTTTGACGATTGTTGATGTCCACGTGATCCTGTCCAAACATGTCCCTGAAACAAAACGATGCTGAACAATTCTGATAATTACAAGAACTGCTAATATGATGGAATCATGCTACTCACTGTAACATGATTTCTAGTCGACTTTGAAAGATGTCCATGTCCAAAATGGAACTCTGGGTTTCCATGACTGAACACACAATCAAACTGTGTCTTTGATTGAGACAAAAAAAAAAACGTCCAGTGTCCACTCAACGAAAGTTAGAGTCGGCAATAGTTCCACCCACGACATACACCTGCACAAACTGAAGTGCTGTGATCACAAGTACTGTCACCACCAATTACAGCCCACCTTTCTGAGCCTTTGGGTTCGACTGGACCTCCAGCACCACAGTGGTGATGGCGTCGGCGTACATGTCGTTGAGAGGGTTAGCGATCCACTGAAAGCAAAACACGAAGAAGTTGGACGACGGGAGTTGCCGTTCGTGCATCCCAGGACTCACCTCCAGCAGAACCATGCCGACTTCGTGGATCAGAGTGACACTTTGGAAGATCCTCAGCGTTTTCTTTTCGGTACCGTCGAGCTCTTCCACATCACCTGACGGAGAGAACGCTCAATGCTATGCACCACGTGGTATATACGCTGCATCCGGAAACTAATTTTTGCACTTCCCCCTTTTCCACAATTTGTTATGAAGTGGGCCAACTGCCCGAAGAAACTTAAGCCTTAATACTGTAATTGCTGCTCAAGGTGCAACGGCAAAATGTCGAGCAAAGGATGTGAATACTTGCATACGTGCAATTTCTTAGTCTATTTTTACACATTTGTAAAATATGTAGAGGGGGAAAACATGTCAGAACGTATCAGGTGTTGAAATTAGAGGGTTAAACATGCTTTGTATGCACAATGGCTCACCCGTGAGGTTCCTAAGGTGGCAGACGAGCAATGAGTAGGGTCCAGTGAAGGGGATGGCCTGCGTCTGCTTCACTGTGCTCATGGACAGCTCCGTATACACTGCAAAAAAAAAAAAAAAAAAAAAAACGTAGCATGTTGACATGTTTCGTGGGGGGATGACGGGTGAATTGTTGAAGACTTGACTCACGGGAAAGGTCGGAGGGGTTGAGGATGTGGTAGTTAAAGTTCTTCTTAACCAGGATGCCGGACACTCTCTGACCTTGAACGCACTTCTGATCCGCCAGAGAGCCCATCACCTGAATGCAGCAGTGAAGTCACGTCAGGGCTATGAGAGCTCATCCAACAATCAATCTGTAGCCTAATAACTTAACGGCGTAACAACGCTTAAGAACCTTGGCCAGTTTCTCTCCCCTGAAGTTGAGGGTGACCGACTCTGTGTTGCGAGGGTTGTGGACTTCGATGTGAACCTGGTCGTTGTCCTCGTACTCTCGGATAAGCGCCGCCTTCAGGCGCGCCATCTCGTTCTGCTCGCCGTGGACCAAGATCTGAGTATAGTATTTTCCGATGTGTTATTTAATCTCTATAGTGATATTCTAATATAGCACATTGCGATATCCCTGCTGTAGCTACATCAAATAATGTGCTTTGTTTTAATATTTTGCCCCTTTAGACTACCTTATATTTTTGCAAAGTCAAAAGGTATGAGTGATGCGTTTCGGCTTCCCCCTACCACGTGTGGGGGTTTGAGAGCGCGGATGAACTCGCTGGTTTGCTGGTAGTCTGTGTGGGCCGAGAAGGAGATGTAGTCCACCGACATCTTCAGCTGCAGCTTTTGTCCCGACATGGTGGTGATCTCCTCCGGCTCGGACATGATGTGCTGCGCAACAAACGCAGACACCACTGTAAGTTGCATTCACATTTATACGCTTGTAATATACCGCATTCTATCACCATCTCTCTGGTGGCGTTGACATTTTGGGCTACGGTACTATAGTTGGAAACACCAGACGGGTAAATTAGAAGGGTTCCTAAATTATGTCACCAAAATATAAGAAACAGCTCTCTGTATGATGCCGGGCACTTGATCAGGTAACCGGGTTATTTTAATAACCATGAATTATTAATCAATGATTTAACTTACACTTAGCAATGGACAGGCCTTCTTCCAACTATTTTTCTTCTCTTCAGTGAATCTGCACGTGAGTTCTAATTTAATGAGATGCAATTGCAGGTGCTCATATGGGACAAATGGTGCCAGCTGACCTTGGCCAGTGTTCCCTCCACACAATATCCAGCGATGATAACTCCATTTCGCTTGTCCGTGCACCAGCTTTCAAAGAGCTCTCTAGAAAGGCCGCTCTGCATCATGCCAGGGGACGCCATCACCACACTGGGGCCTATGTCATCAAAGTGGTCCATGCTCTGAGAATTGAAGACACTGGAGTAAGTTTTCATTTTTTCCTCTGCGAAAAAGGATTTATTTATCCCACAATTGAAATCTTTAAACACGTGTCGGAAATGTGTTGTTGAAACCAACGTTGTTTTTTGGCAATAATTCCATGTTTAGCGCAAACCTGAAAACACAACACTACTCATCACCAAAAGGAACACCATCCCAACTGTGAAGCATGGTCGTGGCAACGTCGTGCTTTGGAGCTGTTTTTCAGATTCTGTGCATTTTTGCAAAAAAAAGTACGGAAATAGTCCCACATGAAAATGTGCCACTCTGATAAATTCCAACCCAAGAAGAGTATTGTAATAAAAGAAAAAAGTGCAGGAACACAGTATTAGTTTGAGGGTGTGCATATTTATGCAAGTATATTTTTCCCCTCCAAATTTTTTTTTTGCACAGGTTATAGGTCACACACACAAAAAAGATGGTCTCATATTGTTATCCCACAAAAAACTGGCATTTGAATATATTCACAGTACATCACTGACAAGAAAGATGGTCTCATATTGTTATCCCACAAAAAACTGAATATATTCACAGTACATCACTGACAAATTTTGTCCTCGACCTTGAGGTTGCTGATGTGCTTGAAGACAAAAGGGTTGTTAATGTTGATAGCCTTGCGAATTTTGTCGTTCATGGCGTTGACGTAGGTCTGGTACACGGCCATGCACTTCTTGGCCAAGGACGAGGCGTAGTAGATAGGGATGTCATGGAGCTCCGGATGGTTCTGCCAGTACTCGTCTGGAGAAAGGCATTCAACAGGAAACAAGACATGACAAGACAATTGATACTGCAGACATTTTTAAAAAACATTCCTAACTCTCATACAAGTACAGTAAAGAGAAGTTAACCACTGTCAAATAAAAATACAATAAAGGTGCGGGCAAATTTTTGTGCTCAAGGTTGACATTTGATTTTTAAAATGGACAGTTGGGCCAGGTAAATTGTAGATAGGGTAGAAAAAAAAATTATGTACCGGTAAATTTTTTTATTTTACAACAAAATAAATCAAGTTCATTTTAAATAGAATGATTTGTAATTCATTACATCATGTTTATTTACTGATAAAATCATTTACACGTAAATGAAATCATTTACAGTTTTAATTTAGAAACAATCAGGTAGCTGATATTTAACAGGATAATTGATCCCATTTCAACTTCAAAATTTTCAATTAGTGATATTCTTTTTTTTTACTGTATAAATTAACAAGGCAACAAATATTACAAGTATGTTTTCGCACATGGCAAGTTTTGCCTGACGTTGGAGGCTTCACTATTCCAGTATATTATATTGGCAATGCATACTAATAAATGTAAATCTATTCAATGTAAGTTGTATCAATACAGTTTACATAACTAATAGCTCGAGTTCCCAACGCCCACACACAACTGCATCCCGATGCCCTAAGATGCTGTTACACAATATTCACAATGATTTCATTTTAGTTTGGGGTACATTGCTGCCCCGTGTGGTGGCATGTATGTATTGCACATGCAAAAAACCAAAAAAAAACAAAACAAAACGTACAGATTTTCCCCATCAAATAAATGACCTTTTTTGTCATTGGTGAAGGTGTTGAGACTATTAATGATAAGTCCACATAAAATGGGTGTCTCACCCAGAATGAGCAGCAGTTCCTGGGCTCGCCCCAAAGCAAATACGGGGATCAAACAGCGGCCCTCTCTGTTGACGATGTCGTGGACCGTGTTACAAAAGCGAGCCTCGCGCTCTTCGCGCTTCTCATGGATGTGCGTGCCGTAGGTGGACTCCTGCACAAGAACGATGAACGACATTTTTGATCACCTCAAGATTCAAGGAAAAATGCACGCACACTTTTTGTGAGAAATGTTGAATTTTGCGGGGGCGTACAATGATTAAAATGTCCGGTTTGACGCTTGGTATCTCAGCCGCCATGAGGTGTCTGTCTTCTTGTCGTGAGAAGTCTCCCGTGTAGAGCAGCTTTGGAAGGAACCAAATAAACAAATCACATGTTAACCATGAATAATAATACCAGCAGTCAGAGGTGGATAGAGTTGCCGAAAACTGTAGACAAGTAAGTAAGAGTACTGTTACTTTAAAATACTATTGCTGTAAAAAAGTGTCTTCCAAATAATGACTTAAAAGTAAGAAATCAGTGAAAAAAAGTACTGAGTTACTGGTGTATAACCTCTAATTGATTTTTCTTTTTGCATCAGAGCATGACCGTCAAATACACAAAAATATAAAGCGAGGAATGTTCAACTTCAGGAATTGCCTAAATATATCACTTCAACTGAAAGAATAATAGATGAAATGTTTATAAAATAACAAATTGAGAAAAATACAACCTCAAGAAATAGTTTTGAATGTACTTTTTTTGTTTGCTCAATATAACAGCGTAAAAGTAGCATTTGTTTAAGAAAAAAACTCAAGTAAATGTTGTGTTTCATTAATATTATGAAAATTAAAATGCAAAGAGTTACTTAATTAAATGTAGTACAGTAAATGTATGCACCACTTTAGGTAAGTAGCACAGAGAAACTTTCAGAAACAAATGTCACAGAAGTGATACAATATATCCTCAGAAAATGCCTGAAGAGTCACACAAAACTTGGAATTCAAATCATCATCATGCACAAATCTCGTGAGACTCAAGCTCAGTAAAATGCTACTTCAAACACAATTCTCCTTTTCCTTGTTTGATTCTAGAGGTTCCACTGACTATACGAGTAAGTATTCTGTACTCGAATAAAAGCTGTTACCTTGACTCCGGCTATTTCAATCATAAACATGGCAGCTCCCAGCACATGGCCAGCATGGTAACACCAGAACTTGATCCCTGCCACCTCCTTGACCTCATGGAAGTTAATGGTCTCAATCTTATCCATACTCTCCTCCAGGTCCGTCTCGGTGTATAGCATGTCATCTGCAGAAATGTTGCTGCAACAGGAGGGGGGCGGGGATTCCAAATTACAGTAATGTATTCTAATTCAAAGGCAGTAAAGGGTTTCATAGCTTACCTGACTTTGACGTAGTCCGACAGGAGCCAGCGGTAGATGGCCTTGGTGGCATGAGTCATGAAGGTTCTGCCTTTGAAGCTGGTCTTCTGGAGGAACCAAGGCAGAGCCCCACAGTGATCGAGGTGGAAACTGGAGACAAAACAAACTCATTATGTAGTCACCCAATGTATGCTTCACAGGGGACATTTAATACAAAACTTTTTTTAAAAATTGCTTGTACATAGCTGCGTCGCTAATGTGCCTGCCTAAATATCAAGCACGCCCAAATAATTGCGAAGTGAATGTTGCTTTACTGTGCTTTTGATTTTTTTTTCTTTTTTAGCTGAGACTTGTCGTTAGGATTCAGTAACACTATCAAGATTGTTGCATTCACTTGGAATTTTTTTTTTGCATCTGTTTTTGTATCTGAAGTAATCCAGAAAGAAAGGTGAGGGATGAAAAGATGAAAGAATGTAATGTTAGCAAAATAGCAAGTGAAAGGAGTCACGGAAAGAAGGATGGAAGTTGAGAGAAAGAAGGGATGAAGACAGTGAAGGAGGAAAAGGAAGGGAGAAAAGCAAGGAAAGTAGGATGGGGTGAAGGAAGGAAGGAAGGAAGGAAGGACGGAGCCAAAAACGGCCTGATTTCAGCAAGACAAAATCCTTGGTATATTTAAACGAAAGCATGTCCCACAATACACAATAGAAGTGCGGATTATTTTCAATTGCGACCAAAACAACGACAAAAGAAAAATTACTGGCTGATGAGCAGCAGGTCAATCTCCGCTGGGTCGATCAAGTCTATATAAGGGAGGGCATCCATTCCTTCTAAACCAGGGTGGATGCCACAGTCCAGCTGTTGAACACACAAATTAAAACAAATTGTAATCTCCAAACACATTTCTTTTGCTCTCTCCATTTAGCAGTCTAAAAATCTATAGCTGAGGCCCTAATCAATCATTAGTCACCATGATTTTTCTTCCTTTGAACTCCAGGATAATACAGGACCTCCCGACCTCCTGCCCAGCACCCCTGGGAAAGAAAACAAGAAAAATTACGGTAGCCAACATTTGTTTACATAATTTGAGATTCAATCATTTTTAATACATAATCAATGAATGTATCAGCGTACAGCGGACGAATATGAAGCTGGTCACTCTCCTCCGCCGGGACGATCATCTCCACTTTGCGTTTTGATGCCATAGCTATAGAAAAGCACAAAGCGGAATGACAAATGTCACAATCAAATCATAGCGCAATGTTTTGAAAATGAATGAGGAGGCGGTCCCTCTCCCCACGGGACACTTCCGGTCGTGTATCAAAACACCACCGGCAAGACTGAGGGGAGACAGCGACGGTTCCGGGACATATGTTCCGTTTCAGAATAATGATAATATTTTAGGGCAAATGACAACCGCATACTTAAGAATATATTAGAAGTGAAGACACGTGCAATTTTGTTGCTTTGATGTTCAGCACCTGTGGCAGCAGTCTACTTTTAGCTCCGTCATGGACTAAAGTTGGGTCAGTCTCCTTTAAGAAGCGTTGGGTGGAGGCTGTGAAACTACGAGAGAAGCTAAACTGAGAGTGAGTTTGAGCCGACAAACGCCCTGTTGCGGGCAGGCAGATTAACCAAGTTATGTTAATGGTACTCTAACGCGCCAACACTGTTGTCAGGTATGCATGTGCCGGATTGGTTTTAATAACGGCGATCTTTCAGCGGAGTGAAAGTTAATCAACTTGAGTGTTGAAACGAAAGCGACGTTGAGCGTGGGTGGCGAGTACTGAATGGTTTTCCTCGGTTGTTTGCGTTAATTTTAGACGCTGTTTATAACATCTTTATCCACGCTATCACGTGTAATTTGTGAATATATATTAAACTGCAGCTAACTGCAAGGGTGTAACAGATATGTGACTCCCTTAAATATTTTATGGCCACCTAAGGACGAGGCAACTTTGGGTCTGCAGGAACTGTCCCATGCTTAATTCTTATTCCCCAACACAATAAGAATCAGAATACTTTGTTTCGATTTGTGGGGGCCCATAAAACATATTGGAACACACTTTTGTGACTTTAGTTACCCTTTAAGTCATCATAATTTGAATTGCATTTCAATTGACTAATCAAATTATGATGATAATAATCGGAAATAAATGAGCCTATTTATGTGTTTTATTTTTTTCTGACTTGGTTGATTGACTGATTGATTAATTGAACCTTTATTCAAACATGTAGTACAAAAACAAACACATAACAATTTACAGTATATTCCACCGAAACGCTGTGTACTTTCAGTCTGAAAAGGAGTAAGAACTGAAACCTCTTTAAATCCGAAACTTTTACTACTTGTATAAGAGTAATTATCCATCCTGAAGTGCAAACTGAAATCCTAATTACATAAAAACAAAGCAAATTCAAACAAACGAAAATAATATGAGTTAATATTCAAAGTGTTTATTTATTTGTATTTTGTCATTTGTGAACACATTTTATTGTTTTAAATTACACTTCCAGGCCCACCAGTTCTTGATGGGTCACTTTGACAGATTTATTCCTCTCACATTTCATTTAATGGCTCTTTTCAATGTGCCAGATTGTCATGAAATAAAAGTGTATGAAAAAAGAGAATTAAACGTAACTTTAAAAAAACAACCACCAAAAGCAATCGATAAATTCATTAAATTCAATACAATTATTTCAGATTCAAGTTCAATGTTTTATTAATTAATTGACAGTTTCGAAAATTGTTCCACCTTTAAACTCAATAGTAAGTTGCGCTTATTTATCTTGCCACACAAAATGTAAAAATGAGGCACTCCATAAAGAAAACAAGATACTGAATAAAACACACATTGTGAAACAAAATATGAAGTATTCTGTAGTCTTCCATGATAAATGTTTGGTGGTGCTTAGGTTGGAGGTGGGCTGGGATGCGATGGTCCAGGATGCAAAAGTGAAAGATGTTTCGCAAGGTGAAAAAACGCCACAGCAGCAGTAGCTCTCAGAGCAGTGAGATCAGCACCAAAAGTAAGGTACGGTAACCGGACCCACTTTACATGAGTGTCCACCTACCAGACAAACATTAACTATCCCAACGCAGTCCTATTACATGTTGCACAAGAGATGTACAACATGTAAGAAGACTATTTTTAAAACATCTCTTCCTCTGAATCTCATTGTACCATGCAAATGTACCCAATGTCGTGGTGTTGAACTCTGTCTCTTCCATAGTCTGTAGACTCCAGTTTGGGGGGACTATCCAGGTCCAGTACAGTCGCCAGCCTCGACACAGACTCTACCAAGAGCTCGGGTCAGTGGGATTACATCATCCCGACCTTTTATTCAATCACTTATTATTTTATCGATGCCAACATGTATGACCTCCCTAGGAAACAACACATCTGAAACATGTGCAGAGTTCCGGGTAAAGTATGTGGGAGCCATTGAGGGATTGCAGTTTGACATGAGCAAGAAGCTCCAGGAACCTCTTGACCTCATCAACTACATTGACACCGCTCAGGTAAAAAAAAAAAAAAGTTAATCCAATATTGTATATTATAAGAGTTGTATGAAATCAAACCTGCCTTTATAAAAACATGACTGGTCAAGTTTTATTTTATTATAAGTCAGTATTGTGGCAACTATGTTGCCCCCCTTTCATGTGCAGTGGATATAAAATGTTTCCACCCCCTTGTTTAAATGCCAGGTTTACAGTCTAAACTGTAATTGCCTCTGGAAGCTAAAGTCTACCCTTCATTCATATCTTGTTTTATTTCAATTCCATTGTGGTGATGTATAAGGGCAAAGTGATAAAAATTTTGTCATTGCCTAAATACTGTATATTTGTACCTAACATGTTTATTCTACTTTATTTGTACATATTTTTATCTCTCTTATTTATTTATTCATTTATTTATTAGCAAGATAGAAAGCTGCCGTTTGTGCCACGAGATGAAGAAATGATCCTGGTTGTGTCGAAACACGGAGTGAAAGTGGCCTCGCTCGACCAGTATGTGAGTCCTTCTTGTTTCTTTAACAAAGCAAAGGGAGTCATCTATTCATCTATATTGTGTGTTAGAAATTCAAGTTTTAGCCAGTAGTTTATTTGTCTTTTTAATTTGACTTCTTTTTTTTTTTATCTCACCACTGACAGAGGACAGTGTAAAAAATAGCACCTTCCTGGCTGCTCACTACAGTATGATTAAATAGGGACAATAAATCCACATCTGTGATAAAGAAGCTAAATGTAATGTATACCCCAAAATCACATCTGTTGGTGTTTATGTCGCGACTCATCTGCCAGTGACAAGTAGTAATATCCATCGGTCTTTTCGTTATATTTTCTTGTGTTTAACCTCTTTTTACAGAGCATTGATTTTGTGAAGGTACAATATGCACAATTCTATCGGCTGTAATTACAGTTTAAGTGATGAAACCCTACCATGAATACAGTAGTGATAATCTAGCAGAAATTGGCAGACCGACAAAAAGGTGAGTAACTTCCTCTTGATACGACAAGAAGGCAGCAAATCACTACACTTCTCAATCCATTTGTTGTTCAGTGATTCATTTTTACACCCATTATACCTAAAAAAAACATTTCTGTTGTGACTTGATGAGGGCAAGAATAATAAAAATCATCGTTATTATTATGAGGATGATTATTTTGATATATTATTCCTCCGATGATTATTTTGATATACTATTCCTCCAGGATGTGTTGCACCGCCACCCTCTCTACCTGATCATGCGCATGTTGTGCTACGACGATGGCCTCGGCACTGGGAAGAACCTCCTGGCCCTCAAAACCACCGACCCTGAACAGGAGGGGTGCAGCATCTGGGTGTACCAGTGCAGCAGCTCTGTGAGTGCCAGCGAATAAATGCATATGTGCTATTTTTAAAAAAAGGCAATACTTGATTGCTGTTTTCGTTTTCTATTGTAAACAGGAGCAGGCTCAGTCCATCTGCAAGGTGCTTTCAGCTTCCTTTGACTGTGCGCTTGCATCAGACAAGTCGTGAGGATGGCGGGGGAAAAGTAAAACTAGTAAAGGGAGACAACCATGACTGACGAATGCAAACCTTTTTCTTTAATCGAAGTTTTTTTTTTGTTTGTTTGTTTGTTTTCAGTAGATACTACCTTAATGGCATTCAATATCTATCCACTGACCACCACACAAAAAATCTGATTTGGACTTTCAGTTCAAGTTGAAATCTGCTGGGCAACAAAATGAAATGGTTGTATTTATTTCAAAGTATTTCAGGTGTTTAGTTGTTTGGTACAACATATGCCACAAAGCGGTAGATTGTGTCTATGTAGAAAGGCATTCATATTGGTACGAGTCTTTGAAATGTGGCCGCTGGTCCTTAATTTGTGAGACTTGAATTTATTAATAGCACACGTTTTGTATTTGTGACCAATAATATAAGAAAAGAAATTGCGCTATGTCCTCTTTTATTTTATCCTTCCGCCATTGTCACTTTCACCCATTTGTTGTTTGAAAATGTTTGTGACATTAAATGAGTGAAACTTCATAATTTTGAGTGCGCTTCTGTTTTGCCCTCAAATGTCCACCAGAGGGGGCGCTTGATGTGTACATGTAGTACTTTTCTTAAGACTACAAGACTATTTTGCATGTACTGTACTAAAAAAACTAAAAATCAGAATGTAACTACAATATTTATTTCAACATTTATTTTAAAAAGTAACACAGTATAAGTTTAGTTATCCTAAGATAAGATCATCAAAATAATGTCAGAATGTAACTACAATATTTATTTCAAAATGTATTTTAAAAAAATAACACTATAAGTTTAGTTATCCTAAGATGAGATAATCAGGATATTAAAACCCCCTGTCAGTTGTTCACTGGGAACTATACCTTTATACTATAGAGGTATAGTTCCCAACGTTGGTACTTTAAAGTACCAACGCCATGACCTATAAGTACATACTGAGCATTTTTGCTCAGACTCCTATAGCATTGGATAGCATAAGACTCCGTTGCACCTCTGGGAACCTCATGACGAGGTGGGTGTGTTGCAAGCCAAGAATGTCATGCACGTGGTGTGTTTATTTTAAACAATCTGTACCTGGTGTCGATAATTGTGTCAAGTTTAAACTGGATTTTGCTTGATGTAGAATGCATGTTATGGTTTGGTTTGCAAGCGAGCACCTTGCTATCCATGACACATCTCCATCCCCACAAATGGAAGAAGTAAATGCATTTACAGCATGGAAGTGATGATTTGGGGAAACGTTTCAATGTAGTCTCACTGAGAGAAATGTGAAGTAGAGTCCCTAAAGTAATTCAATATTACTGGTTGAATTTTCGCTTTGATGTTTTATAAAAATCCCTTGGAAATAATGAGCAATGGCTTATGACTGGCATGAAAATGATCAGAGAAGCGTGCTTATATTTTTACCATTTTATTTTGTTGACATAAACTTTGACCTGTAAAAATTGTATATGGTAGTCTGTCTCATACACTGTACTGAGCAACCAGACCATTTCTTTCCTATGTTGCGAGGAGTTAAATTTGCTGTCCTGTGGTTATTACACTTTTCCTCTTTGCCCTCAGTCGTCCTAATCATGGGAATCCATCTATGGTGGTATTACACATAAAACAAAAAAGACAAAGAAAACATGACCGAATTTAGGCCATTTGACGCAGAAGCCTATATAAGTGGAAAGCTGGACGTTCTGCTGGCCTCTAACTGAGCTACTGTGAATCTGGATCGCAGATGATAAGGCAGTTGAGGCCTGTGTGTGTGTGTGCGTGTGTGTGCATTTTAATTTCATAAGGCAGTTGAGGCCCTCGTGCTAGTTCAAATCTAGAGCGCTTCATTTAGTAGCTTGCCAGGATACGCTGCAGAACTGCAAGAATGTGTGAACACTGCCCACTTTGTGATTTGAAGTCTGGTTAGGCTGCTCTGACACTATTTATATGAGTTGCCCTGCCTTGGGTTGGAAACATCTTTTTTTAATCCCAAACCCAAGGAAAATGCATAGTACACAGAGCGAAGAAAATTGGTCTGGTAAATAGTGACAAGCAGTGTGCAATGCTCTTCTGTAACCATAGTTTGTTCAAGGGGGGGAAAATAAATAACAGCACATGATGAGTAATAATTACAGCATCAGGGTAGTAGATCCTGTTTATCCTGTTCTTCGTTGTTCACAGAAGTGTGCATCACAATGAATGAACATCGTTGTGTTTTTGTGTCTCTAGTGATACTTTCAGGCACTAATCAATACATAGGGCAGCACATACAGGAAGTGTACATTAACTTAATTCCCCTCACGAGAGAAATAAAGTACAGCATGCTATTTGTTTAATTTGGATTTTTAAAACATATGTTCCACATTGTCAGGGAAATTTGATCATAGGAAGAAGCCATAAACCAAAGTGTTAAAAAAATAAATAATCCCCAGTGCGATTGATAAAATGATCTATACAGTATATCTAATAAAACATTTAGGAGTTTTTAGGAAGAGTTTTTCGAGTCTAGCGACAGTATTCTGTCATAGTGAGGTAAAAGAGTAAAAGATGGAGAGAAGATAATTAATGAATGCTTTATGTATATGTATGTATGTATAAAAATGTATTTTTATTTTAAAACAAACCAAAATGTCACTAAAATGAGGCATTCAAGTACTACAACAAATAACGGCGTAACCAATGCACTGAATAGAAAGTTTGGGATTGTAAAACATTAACATAAACAACGTTACAAGGGAATGAGCACACAAGAATAAAAACTTAGATCTTGGACAGCGGAATTTCCTTTTAATCGCCTTCCGGAGTTGTCCATATAGTTGGTATATTAACTGTCATTTAAATTGGTACATGAAGGTAGCATAAAGTCACGCCCATGCCAATTTTGATTGGCTCCCGCTTGCTAGCTGCAGTTTCCTATTGGCTGCTGTTGGTCCATTGAATCCCCTCCTCTACCTTTGTGGATTTCTTGCGCTCCGAATGAACGCGATTTCTTGTTGTTTCCGGAGGCTCACTGTTGTGAGCTCCTCTTACCCTCTAAGGTCCCACGTTTGGAGACAAGGGAGGACAATAGACTTCACGGAGGGAACTTCAGTTCCTACATCGAATCGAGAGTCAACCATTTAACCCGAATGGAGTGGCGGTACTTCAACTGAAAGGCAGCCAGAGGTTAAGAAATCTACCCGTGGAGCACCGTGTTAGGGACCGAGCGTTGTCCGAGATATACCCAGACATGGTTCACTGCCAGCCGAATTCGCCAAGGACTCTATTACCGCTTCTATAAACTTTTTTTTTTTTTTTTAATACCAGAACCGAGAAGGAGGCATAGTTGAAAAAGAGCGCGTCTTCTCCTGTTTATCCGGCAGAAAAGGGGGGAAAGGTATTGGGAGTATTAATTATGCCTGACCAAATCACAGTATCTGAGTTTGTGGTGGAGACCAATGAGGACTACAAGTCACCCACCGCTTCCAACTTTACCACCAGGATGCCCCACTGCAGGAACACCGTAGCTGCACTGGAGGAGGTGAGTGCACCGAGTGGGAATGCAAACACACCATCCTCATCAAGTGGTGTTTCCCAACCTTTATTGAATCGGGCTGCATAGAATAAATTGGAAAAAAATCTCACGACGCATCACCAAACTAAAGTTGATACACAGGTTAATTATGTACCTTCTGCCCTCTAGTGGATGAGAATGTAATTATCCTACCACACAATATACATTGTCGGCAACGATAGTTGGCCAAAGAATATTTTTCATAAATAGTTTTTGTACCAATTAAGTAGAATCGTAACATATAACCTGACTCACTTACTTTAAAAATACTTATTGCTCATGTAAATGCTGTTAGTTTTCCCACAACACCATGCATTGCCATATTGCATGCCAACAACACATTCCAGTATTTTGTTTCGGTACTTTTAGACCACTGATTTTCAAAGAGTAGCACTTTGGGTAACTGTAGCGCAGTGCTTCTCAATTATTTTTTTGTTACGACCCTGAGGAAGAAGATCATATTTCACACACACACAATTCTCCGCTGTAACTATAAAAACTATCATTTGTAGATTAAATTGTTATGAATCCAAAAGAAATATAAATATTTAATAACATTGTTTATACTACCTGCACACACTCTGACAATAAGAGCGCCACTACCACCTACTGCAGTGAATATGCTATTACAGTTTATTCTAGTATGGCCGAAAAAGCATGTTTCCAAGGGTAACCCACAAGTCCTCCACAAACCTATCCATGACTTTGGGTGAGTGGCGGGGACACCCTAAACTGGTTGCCAGCTAGTCACAGGGCACATGTTGACAAACAACCATTGACACTCACAATTACAGCTATGGACAATTTGGAGTCTTTATTTGAACCTAAAATGCACTTTTTTTTTTTTTTTTTGCAACCCACGTTTAATCCATGAGAATGGAATTAATGACATCCATTCTTATGTTGTACAAATTAATGTGTATCAATTAAAACTTCACATGACTAACTGTAAACGCAGATTTCTTGTGTTGGATCTCATTAGGTTGTGCAGGTGTACCTCATGAGTGAGTGTACGCAACATTCAAAGAACCCGATGATTTGCTTACACACACTGAGTGGAAACGTTTCTATACTGACTTAACAAGATTCCTCACTGTGCAAATATGATGCTGCTGTTCCGTTTTTTTACGGTTGCATTACGCTCTGTTTGTGTGTACACAGAGAAGCACTTTAGCGCAACAATATTATTTGGTTCCATGCAGGTTTTCTGGAGGTGGGGGCTTCCGTTTCGTTCCCTGTCTGCGTCCCTCTCCCTTGTTAGAGTTTCCCGACTTTGTGTGCTCCACGGCTTCGAGCCTCGCCCAACCCCGGTGGTAAAAATAGAATTTCCCACATGAGTTGGTTGGCAGCTGGTGGTGTGTGTACTGTATGTATATGTGTGTTCGTGTGTCTCTGCCTCGCCTCGATAAGACGTCAGGTGACGTGGGCCAGTTGGTCTCTTCCTCTCTGCAAATGTTTTACCTGTAAAACAAGCAAACTGCAGACAAACCTCTGAGAAAGAACACCAAAGGGAGGCAATTGCACTTGTCTTTGTTGTGTATGTTTCACTTTTAATCCATAAGGGTTGGTATCCAAATTATTATATTCTTTTTAATTTGTACCACGATGACTGAGAATGTTTTATTAAAATAAAAGCCATTTTCATCAAAATTGCAAGACGTACTGACGAGTACTCAAATGAAAGTGCTGATATTCGGTCTGAAAAAAAAGTGACAATGATGCATCTGTAACTCTTAGTAAAATGTAAAAACAATCAAAAATCGATTACATATGTTGACACTGGACTTTTGTCGTTCTTAACCTCAGTTTTTTTTAACAGTTCAGCATTCTTAACTGTCGAACAAGTGGAAGAAATAGCAAAAGACCATCTCCAAAAAAAAGAAAGCAAAACCGAATGAAAGTACTTGGTCACATTATTTTCTTCTCCAAAACACTCTTTGTTGTGATGCTGCTCACTTTGGAGTAAGTGTGGCAAATAAGCCACAAAAAAAAAAAAAAAGACAAAAAAAGGCACGGTTAATCCTTTAATACTCTCCTAACTGAGATTGCTGAAGGTGTCACGTCATGCTAGAAGGCGATTTGAACTTATGTGCAACTTTCCTTGAAAGTGTTGGTCACATTTGGAAATAACTTCAGTAGTTCCGCTATTCTCGGCGCCTTCCACCTTCAGATTGTATAAACATTTCCGAGAGACAACATTTTTACTTTTTTCTTTTTTACCTAAGGCTAATCCGCATCTGGGCTCAGTGTCAACAGCTTCACCTTAAGCTGTCTGAGCTTCCACGCCTAGGTTTGTTTGTATTTTTACACCGGCAGACACCTGCTCAGGCTGGCACGTGCACCGCGAACATCATCACCTGGCTATACACCGTTGCTGGTTTATAATTAATCTGCTTTCGGGGTTATTTCTATTCCACTTGAAGGAAAATGTGTCAGTTGAGTGTGTGAAATTGGGGAGACGTTACTGCTGGTCTCTGAACCAGTTTGAATAGAATTGGGCAGCTTTGTTTCAAAGTGTCGCTGTTGACTCTGCTCAACTGTTGTTATTTGATGTTGACCTAGCGGTGCTCGGGCTCAGCCGACACAAGGCCTGATTGTAAGCGGTCGCTTCAGCCTGTGGTGGCGAAGAAATAGCACAAGTGTTTGGGGAATGCTTGCATTCATTGTGGTTTGCTCCACAAACATTCACAAACGCACGTTGACATCATTCATCTTTTGCAAATGCATTTTTTTACGATGTACGTCTTCGTTGATGCATTTCCTGAAGAATGCAAACATTGAATCAACATTTTTTGAATGTTTTGTACATAATCCGTAGATGCAAGTATGCCAAGTTTCTGGAAAAAAAAAATAAAAAATTGAAAAGGGGTACATAAACTTTTTAGACCTAATGTACATGTTGTGGACCATACCAGCAAACTTTTCACAGTTCTGTGAAGCATTTGCGTGGATCTGAACGTCAGCTATTTAGCATTGTATGCAAAATCGGTGATCGGCTGTTATGTCATAATTTGCTGATTGATCAATGATGTCATTGATTGTATCTGAAAAATAGAACATCACAGCGAACACATACTCGTTCACTCCAGGGACGTTCTGTGCTGCCATTGTTATAATCAAAGGTTTCTCGGCATATACAGTCGGAATTTTTTACCAATTGTATATTTTTTGGGTGGTGGTGCGGGGGAGGGTGTTTTTCCATTTTGTCTCTATGTTTATTTACAAGCACTACAAAAAAAAAATTAATGAATCGATATAGAATCCGAAATAACTAGATGACGACCATTGCATTGGTTGCATTTTCACTCATTTGATGCAGTCTCTGTATCTTGTGTCGGTCTAGCAGTTGAAAATAAAGCCCTTTAACGTGTATATTCAACTTTTTACCCTGACAGTTGAGGATGGGCTAGTAGTGGTCTTCTATCATGTTGTTAGGAGCCACGTCATTTGAAAAGATTGCGTCTTCTGGCTTAGCGCCTAATTTGATATTGACTGTTTTTTTGATGTGAATTTGAAAGAAGTCATCTATAGAGGATGATAATACTGTACTCTCAACTTCCTTTCAACCTTCTGGATTTATTTCCAAGGAAGTCAAATCCTTTAAGTGATGACATTGCGTCTGTTTGGTTTCCACAAAGGTTTTTCTTCGGTGCAATTTGTTAACGAAGGGGATTAATTGGGTTGTGTTATGTGATTAATGCATAAGTCTGTTGTACCAGATGGCTTTCAACATCCGGTTTGCTTTGAATGGGCACGGGAGATAGAAGTTGTGGAGCAATCAGGGCAGGGTCTTATCTCATGGATGCTTTTTTTTTTCTCTCCTAAATGTGTCAGAAAACTAGAATTCATTCAACTAAATAGTTATCTGGTAACATGACTGAAGTTGTTGACACAAAAGGAATCAGACACAAAGTATGTGTTGCCTGTGTTTGTTCACATACATTATTTACATTGGTTGTCGTGCAGGTCGTTGCTCTTGGTGAAAATATATTTCTTGCTCGGTCGGAACAAAACCATTAACATTATAACGCATTGCATTCACAAAGTAATGTTTGGAAAGTATGTATTGTCCAAAACGAAATTCAAGGTTGGATAAACTATCCCATATTCAATACTCACTGGGTCGCTCGATTTAAAGCAACCTCTGAGGGTTTTTTTTTTCACAGTACTTAATTTTACCCTCAATTTGCATCCAGCGTGAGAAATTAGGCTCATAATCTTAAACAAGTGGTTCTTAGGTGCAATTTCATAGAGCTCGTGTGTGTGTGTGTGTGTGTGTGTGTGTGTGTGTGTGTGTGTGTGTGTGTGTGAGTGTGAGTGTGTACTGTATTTGCATGTATGCGCTTGTGTGTGCCGGTGCTTGTAAAACCACAGTGGTAAAAACCTGTTTATCTAGTAAGAGGATGTTGGGCTTTGTGTGACGACCCCTCCCCTTTGCGCTTCTGTAAAGTCTGACTTTTCCATCTCCTCTCTGGCCTGATCGAAGCCCAATCAATTTGATCGTGGGAACATTTTGTCAGAAGAACGAGAGGTTGTCCGCGGAACTACAAATGAAAGCCATTGTTGACGAATACCTGAAAATGGCAGCGGTGGTGGTTATTTCGTCCTGTTATGTAGATTGAATGGATTGTGTGTCAGTGCGACGTTATTATAATTTGGAAACAAAGAGTCCCTTCATATTTTATGATGTCATGCAAAAAAAATACCATAGCCTGGGTTTTCTACACCAGTATCAGCATGATGTGGACCTACGCTCGTCATACATGCATTTTGTCACGCTGACACCGGCAGTTGTCCTCTAAAGTGGTTGGTTGACCTACGAAATCAATAACCTGACACAGTAATACCAGTGGAAGCTTATATCATGAAACCAATGAATATCATTAAACCAAGATTTGACTTAATCAAAGCCGTAAATGCTCCCCCCCCCCTTTACATTCACTCACTCACATTCACAGTTATAAACG